AGGTGAAAAGGGGACAAAGGGACAGGTACGGAGTACATTAAGGGAATCGCTGGGAATGTCAATGATATTGATGTTCGAGGAAAGCGGATGGACGAGCCCAGGTTCCTCCCATCAAATTTTGTTGACTGGCTAAGTACCGCCTACTGTAGCTCCATGGCAGGGGCGGCGAACCACGTTCTGATCACGTCCCCTCAAGGAGTGCGGGGTACAGCCATTGTTCACTTACAGTCTAAATGCAGGTGTCCAACTTAGGAAGCAGAAGTCAGACTCTGACGAGACTGAATGTAGCCCCGCTACCTTGATACATAACTACAACTGACCTCGCAAGATTAAGGGTTCTAGCATCGGGGAGGCGCATCTCCTAGTATCAGAGACGCGCCCAGAGATATCCATGCGATGTCCGTATAGAGGCTTCCTAGGAAATCTTGTGTTTTCCATCATGGCCCTGAGACTTGGTAGTAATAAGCAAGATGTCAACGCGTCAAAATCCGGGGCAGGCAGGGGTGCAGGGATGCCCGAAACGTAAAGATCTACACGTCGCAAGATATCAGACGAAAACTTGGCCCTGTGCGCACTAGTCAATGCTGGAGGGAGGTCTTCCTCGGGTTGACCATTGACAGCATTATGCCAATATTATGGAATATTTACACGAAGTATGGCTTGGTCAACACTTTTCCAATATAATAGATCTCTCTGAAGGTGAATGGATGAACGCTGCGCTCTCTGGCTGTCATCAATCCATATGTTAGACATGTGGGGTAAGCCCAGCCTAGACCGGACTGGTACAAATTACCGAAACTAGCTCGGGCAGACAGAAGGGAAGGTACGAAGTGTTGAAATCGTCATCATCAATTGATGTTTCCTTCCCTACCCTCATCCAAACATCTTCAGTATCGGCGGTCCAAGAATACGATATATGGGAATCGCCATGAAGCAAATTTGCATCCATGATACAGTGCTGATGTGCCTTATGTATGTTCACGTGATCTTCTAACGACCAGCTCGCTTCGTTGATATTGCAAGTGCAAGCGCGATTAAGTTTAGTTGGTGGGGAGACCCCAGTTTCGTACCGAGCGTATGCTCTACATTTTGGGATAACTAGTCTCCAGCCTCTCCCAGAAAACCCGAGTCGAGCGGACAGGATTTGAAGCGGAGTTGACTGAAGCTTTGTGAGTCGATCTCGGGCAAAGTCTTGGGAGGATACAAAGGTAGGCGCAGCAAACCTGATTCATTGAACACTTTTTCAACCTCCTTAGCGGACTCAATTTGTATCCTCCGTCGAGGAGCGCCACTAATATAGTCAATAGTAATTCACCACGAGGCCCTTGGCCTCTCCGCCTCATCAAGAGCCAGTAATTTCCCACTGGACCTGCATCCTCGAATCTTGGGGCTAAGACCCGGATTCGGGGGGATTTGAAGGGGCCATCCCGGGGTGATCTCATTAACTAAGCTCGAATTTGTCCCAAGAACATGGGACGAAGCTACGAAACAGGCAATCCAGGTGGTTCCCTCTTTCGTACATCCTGCCCAAATCACAGCCAGCTGGATCGCTTGATGTCAAGATATTATTACATACGCCGAATGCTTCAGAAGCCGGTTGCTTCTATGGAATGTACTCACCGTCTTTACAAGTACCGGTCGCAGCTTTCACAAGTCAATTTTACTCCACGTAGTGACGAGGAAAGAACCACATGTTCTGTCCGCATGTGGGTGAAGCTTCAAACCGGGTTTCATTCCCTAGAAGGAAAGGACGGAGTTGCGGACAGCTCAAGGTTGAAGCCAATTTAGGCAAGACTATTTGGCTCCTGGCTAATTTTGGAGAGACCAACCACATGCTCAGCCAAGCCGGGACACACCCCACCCGCACATGCCTCTTACATTGTGCCAGCTTCGTAAACTACTCGTGGTTGGGGGATCTCCTGCTCATGGTTCTTTACTTCGAAGTTGGCAAGAGGGACTCGACAGGTCGATGAAGGCACAAAGAAGTGCCCATCATGACTAGGAAAATAGAAGGGACCGCCCAGTCCATAGGATAACCCGTCTTTTCCAATTATTGATGGGGCGGTGTTTGAGGGCAGAACCATGCTACACCAAATCCGCCTTTGCATCAATTTGATCTGTTCGATCGTCCGGCACGCCCTGATTCGAGCCTTCAAGCCGTACCAGTATTACGATAATTGAACTGTCAATTTTTACGGAATGGGTAAAATCTGTTCTTTCATACTCCGGACTGGGCAAGTTCCAATCCGAAGTTTATGCTGCGATCCTGAGTTAATAACACCACAACATTATGGTCTTTGCCCACTGATTTTCCCTCTTCTCTCCCTCTCTCTATGACACGATTTGGACGCCTGCTGTCTTGCGCGTCCCCACCGAGACTTGATCTCAAACCTCGACTGTCTGGCAACTGCTACGCACACCAATTGCAGAGACAACATTGAACCCTCAACTTTGGCCGTGCCCTCCAGTGGGTAGGTCTGCCAGGCCCACCGAGATGAGATAGAGAACTGAGCGGCGAGTTTAGGAGAGGGAGCCACCTGCACAAACACCACCAATAATACCACCTATCGATTTTCACCAGCAATACCTGTGGTGTGCAGCGTTTTTGGTCGATCCTCAATTCAATCGCCCCACTGCCGCCACATCCCTGCGGCCTTGAAGCTTCAGGGCAAGGTCCTTCCTCGATCTCCTAGGCACTCTGGCCTTCTGGCACTCGATACCACTCACTTCCCTGACCGTGGCATTGGACTTACAGCCGTCATTCGGGATATCGTACCAAATTGCCGCAACACCATAGTTTGGGATCCAGATCCAAACCCGGTTTATCTGATTTTCATGGTTTTGGGCCAGCCCAGCACAACATCGCGACAACTCATGACGCGGTGTTAATGAGTTGGATTTCCAAGCCTCAATCTGTCTTTCCCTTGGTTCCCCGATCTGTGGTTCATGATCCATCTTTGGTCTTTGGCAATCATCTCATCAACCCCTGCTTCATATCGCAATCCCTTGGTACAACATCCGCACTGGTGTGGGCCCTCTGCAGTTTAGGATTGCGAGTCTCCAACATCGAGACGGAGGTCAAGTCACATTTTCACCAAAGTCAACCACTTTTTCAGTAGATCCGCTGTACCTCTTTCGAATTCAATCGTTTCTGATCCATGGCCTATGAGTCCCTCCCCTCCCCCCAGTTCAAGTAACCGAAGTCACATTTCGGCGGTCACGACGACCCGATCTAACGGCGAGCTTGGCCCCCAAGCTGCATGCTCGACCCCGGCTTCGCTCGCTCTTCCTGATCGTCACCCTCTCTTCTTCTCCGGGAGTAGCGCTTTCCTGCGACATCAGGGCGCTGGCTATCGATTTCTTGTCCACTCGGACGACCACGGACCCTGAACGGAGAAGTTCGACAAAACTCATCTGTCGTTACTGCCTCCCTCTATCATCGGCCTTGATCATGAAGGGTACCCAAGATTCTAAGAACCGCCTGGTCTAATTTCTTTTCTGCGGATTCTGTAACAAAAAGGTATTGTCGTCTTATCATCTACCCGAACCCGTCCATGGTTGTTCTCCATCCCCTGTTCATCATAAACCATCCACCCCTGCCATCCTCGGAAACCACCCCTCTGCTCGGCTCAGTCTCCGAAAATACCCAGCTCCGCTGTGTCCTGGAAGACGCCGGGCACGCGCTTCGCTGCGCCATGAGCTGCGTGTCTGCTGTCGAGCAAGTCCTGCCGTCACTCCGGCTTGGGTGTTCCTGTACCCCTCCTCCTCCCCAAATGTATACTAGTCGTAGAAAGTTAAAGCTTTGGCTGGTTGGGTAACTTCGCGCCCCCTCGCTTCCCTTCTCCGCCTACTAAGTGGGCTAGGTTCTTTCATACCCTTGCTCAGACCCCATCAACTAGGGCGAACGAAAGCAAAGAATCGTTCCTCAATTGCCTCTCTCATCGACAGAGAACACAACACACACACCGCATCGTCGACACTACTGACCTAGCGGGATACCCTACCCCGAGTCTGCCGAAATGGCGTCTCATTTTCTCACTCCCATGCAGCTGCCCAGCTACCTTATTTCGTCTTCTTGGTCTGGTGGTCCTGTCATATTGGCTGACCCCCTCATCCCCACCCTCAGTCCTTCCCAAAAGCCGCTGCTAGTATCAACCCATCTTTCAACAGCTCCACATCCCGCACGAGTGCTCCATTCTTGCCACTTGATCATCCCAGGCATGGTAGTGTACCAGAAAAAAAATGGCTAACACTGCTTCCATTCAGGGCCCTCCTCACATTAAACTGGGCGCCGAGGCCATCCCAGGGGACCCGCATTCAACCCCAAGGTCAAAGGGCACGTGTACTACAGTGGTTACTGCTCTCACTCTCCAGTACTTCGCTGCGGGCCTCCCGGTCCGGCAAGAGACCCGTACCTTTTCGGAACCCTGGCCATCTTCCCTACACTCAGACATCATCTTAACGCTCTTCCCCCACAATTTAACTAAGATACACCCTCGGGGTGGCCGGAGCATCTTCCATTACAAAACCATCACGTCTCCTCTCCCGATCAATCTACCTCGATATCTTCAGATATCATCACCATACCTGTCTTTATATACACATTGGGGAAACCTCTGATCTTCGACTTGTTTTCTTCATCGCTTCCCTTTTAACGTCTATTGAGTTAGAGAGCTTCATTTCCTAACAGCCGTTCACACACCGGTGGCGACATCACCTATGCTTTGCATCCATCCTACGACATAAGCCTCCTTCTGTATTTCTATCTCCATTTCTCTGCACATCAGTCTTAGGGATGACAACCTCGGTCTTCGTACCAATGAGTGGACCCCCGATTGCTGGTGTCTATCCCGTGGCACTTCCACGGGCTCAGGTCGGCATTGAGAGGCTGCCCTCCCGCCGCTTGAGCAACGAGCCCCGAGAGTCCATGAACTGCAAGTCGTGCCGGAAGCGAAAGGTGCGAGATCAACCGGAGTCGCGCTTCCAGTCAAGCTGCTAACATGAAGCTTCAAATCAAGATCAAGTGCAACCGGTTACGACCTTCGTGTGAGGCGTGCCAAGTTTTTCAATGCCCCTGCATATATGGTTAGTATCGACAGGTCCAGAACATGTTTTCCCCCCAGGCCATCAGCTCACCCATCAATTAGATGCCGTGCCGAAGAAGCGTGGTCCTAAGACCGACGTACTAGAGGCGCTTTTGAAGCGAGTTGATGGATTAGAAGCTAAACTGAGAGAGAAGAATGCATCTGCTTCTCCGACCACGCCCACCAGTCCCAGTGCCCGGGATGGTTCACCACCTACCGGACCTGCCCGTGGAGACTCCGATTCCGACCGGCAACCCAAGAGACTAGCTATCGACACAAATCGAGGGGCAGAGGCTAATGACACTGCCTTATTTTCACCCATCCCTACGAGGTATGCTACAGACCTCCTCGTCGTTTGGTGGGGTCGGATGGTGGCCTCTAACATGAACCTTCAGGGAACCTTCACCACCCATCCAAACGGATGCCCTTTTGGATACCTACTTTACCCGATTCCACGCCAAGCCTTATTACATTCTCGACGAATCCTCGGTTCGGCAGCGCCTGCAACTCAACCAACTACCCAATTATCTCGTCCATGCCATTTGTGCAGTTGCGGCCAGGTGCGTCAATTATTACTGACCATGTTGCGCATTTCTGAGAATTCCTTTTTATGTACTGACAGTGCATAGGTTCACGCTCCACCCCGGCGGATACCGGTCGGCAGTCAAGCTCAGCGAAGAGTATGCGTCGGCCGCCAGGAGAGAGATCGATATCGACGAGCCTTCGGTCGACGCACTTCAAGCCCTTATCCTTCTTGTCCTGGCATTCACTGCTGCCGGAAAGGGAAAGAAGGCGTATATGCTTATGAGTATGGACCTTACTCTTTCCACCTAACACCGGTGTTGAGCTATAGAAAGCTAACGGCAAGTAGCAAATGCGGTGGGTATGGCGATGGCCTTGGAAATTCACAGAGAAATCGATCCCCACGCAAGGGTCACCCCTGTCGAGAGGGATGTTCGACGACGGCTTTTCTGGACTTGTTATCTTTTAGATCGCTTCCTCGCTTGCGGCTCAAAAAGGCCGTCACTTATCTCTGACAAGGCAATCCTCCTTCGGCTTCCATGCTGGTCACCCAACCAAGCCTCGCTCCCGATTGAGGGGGACTTCTTCAACTCCGGGTCAAATCTTCAGTACCTTCAGGGAAGCGGCAAGAAGTTCCAGGGGAGCACCGGTATGCTCATCGACATTGCCCGTATTCTCGACATCACAAACAGGTACCTAGCGGCGGGAGGAGTTAAGGGCGATTCTCATTTTCCTTGGCACTCTCTATCCAACCTCTCCAAGATTCGACAGGATCTAGACACTTGGGCTTCGGGAACAGCTGAGCTATTCTCGAACCCCACGGCCCTCTTTGGTCAAGCAGACTCTACAATTCTTGTCCTTAGCAAACTCATCTACCACGTCATCCACTGCCTCATCTACCGCCCGTTCCTACCCATCGACCTCTCCGAGCTCGCGGGAACCGGCCAGCATCAGTCGTGGCAGATCGAGGCAACCAATCTCTGCTTCCTGCACGCCAATGCCATTGCCGAGCTCATTGACCTTGGAAAACAGGCGGGTACTGTAGAGTGGCCGGAGTTTGTGGGCTACTGCATCTGCACCGCTGGCACAGTTCACATCCATGGCGCACACTACAACAAACACGGCATCAGCTCTGGGAGCGAGGTGTTTAGCTCATCCGCCGAGTTTCTTTCAATGGAGATGCAGCAGCTCAGTGAACTGAGGTACGCGTGGGCCAGCGTACAGCATCAGCGCGAGGTCCTCCAGGGAATCTACAATGCACATTCCGAGCTGGCCAAGTCCATGGCGAACAACGCCATGGGCTACTCCCACGCTTTCCACCTAGAGGATTTTTTCGACCGTTATTCAAACATTGGCGGACCCGATGGGCAGTCATTCAGTTTCGACGCAGCTAACCTCAGTCTCTCGGATGTCATGGTCGACTTTACTGCCGATGCTTATTCGGGACATGATCTCTACGCGCCCCGAGGTGACAATGAGACTAACCAGGGGGGGCGAGTAATGCTAAAGAGAAAGAGCACCGGCTCATCCGATAGGCAACGGCCGAGACTGTCGTCTCTTTCATTCACGGCTGGACAGATGGGCGGACACAACGGTCCCCTCAGTGCAGCTAGCATGCCTACCCCTCACCAGCACACATTTCCCAACATGCTCGCGCAGCCATCGCCTATGATTGCCACGCCGAACTCGCTTCCGGGGCATTCTGATATGTCGGACCACTCGCCTCATATGAGAAGCAGGGTCGACCAGATGAATGAGGTAGCAGCGAACCACGCAGCAATGGCAGCCGCCGAGGCGGCAGGTTTCGGAATACCAGCAGCCAATCAGGGCGCGCCAATGTCTCCCATGACCAACAACACGCACTTTAGTCCCCCGTACTCTTCTTACACGCCGAGTCAAGGGCCCGGAAACAACCATGGAGACAGGATGAATACCAGCGGCAGCAGTGGCTACGAAAATATGTTTGAGTCCATGTCGCCTGGTGGATTCGCGAACCCGACGAGTTGGCACGGAGAGGAAACTGGCAGCGTCAACGAGAATGCCAACGTAGTGATGGCAAACTCCGACGCAAGGAGCACGGCAGGAAGTACTGGACAGGGCGACGAGAAAGACCCGTTCCTTTCGCTGCTGGAACAGCTGGCTGAGAACGAGCAGAGGCAGGGCGGAAGTGACAGTCACGGCGGTGGGGAGATTGATTTTTTCATGACTGGCAGCGGTGATGGACGCACGCATTAGGAGGAAAGTGACATGTACAATTAGCATTTTGATTTTGGGTCTGGGGAGGGACTATCTATGTACAGCGAGTTTACGTGATACGAAATGACATGAGCTTGAGCGTCTTATCTCCCTCTTCTTTCATTTTCTCTCACATTAGATATTTGTTCCCAAGTTTGATGTGAGCATGAGTATGACTGCTTTTTTGCGATGGAGGAGGCACCTTGGAGAATCAACTTTGCCGTAGCCGCCTGATGGATCCGAGGGGTCGCCTGCAACTGACAAGTAGGTTGAGATGGCACGATTCTACGATTTACTTCAAACGAGGTAGTGTCAAAACATCAGACTATCACTCTCTCGGCATAGCTTGCGAACCCCATATGGAGAAGAAGATGTGGAGAGGTCAGGGATGTGCGGTGGATGGGAAGGCAAGCCTGGTCGGGTGTGATTGATATGATTTAAGGGGTCATTCAAGTGGGACGCCCAAAAAAAAAAAAGAAAAAAGAAAAAAAAAAAAAGAAAAAAGAAAAAAAAAAAAAAAAAAAAAAAAAAAAAAAGGCTCGTGCGAAGTAACTGAAGTAACTCGTTCTCCGTTCACCAATGTGGAAAGTGGAAAGGGCCGAGAGAGAGAGAGAGAGCAGCCCCTCAACGGGATTGATACACATCTCCATTTCATGGGTGGCGTTCGAAAAATATGGACTCTGACAGGAAAGGTTACATCGTTTCAGTGGAGGGGGGAAGGAGATGAGTTCTATCCCTGTCGGGGGGGCGTGGACGGAAGGGATGTTTGGCGGGACGGCGGGCCGATGGGGGAAATGCCGAAGATGGGGAAGAGGGACGTCTCGTCGTCTCCCAATCCCCAAGGGGCATTCTCAGAGGGCTAGCCAGTTGGGTTGGCGGGTCCTGCGATTGGGATCAATATGAGTGTTCATCTTGATGCTGTGCTGGAGTGGGTTGGTTCGGTGAGGGTGAGGTTGGACTGGATGTGTCACGTGTATCCTTGTGTTGTAGCACGTGACTTACGATTGACCTCAGCATTGAAGTTTGATCTTGAAGACGTCGCTGTCCAGTGGAACCAGAAAATAGGGTCATATACGGGATCCCGTGAATGTCGATGTTATTGAATTAGTCTACGGATTCATCCGTTTCAAGAGTCTATTTCCTATTCCTCATATAAGCTTGAATTCCCTCTCAAGTTCTCCTTCGTTTAGTGCGCTACTGCCTCTGGCCGTGACGATCGACTGATTCTGGCGCTGCCGCGGCCCATCGAGCAGGTGTCCCTAGGCGTCCCTCTACATTCTTCTTGCCAACTCCAACAAAGGTTTGCACATGTCCCCTAATTCATTCACGACGTGCTCGAAAAACTTCTCTTGCAGTTCCTCGTTCGCCAGATTCGTCTCACCCAATCCGAAATCACATCCCAAACACTTGCGTATAATCATCGGAAACTTTAGACCCATACGACGAATTAACTCGGGGGAGCCGCGGGATAGCTCTTCCGCGGCGTGGTACTTGTTGTGGCGGCATGCAGGCAGTTTTTTGAAAGCGTTTCTCTCAAGTGACCGCCATGGCCGATCATACACCAGTTCCAAAATGACAATGGCAAACGAAAAGAGAAGTTTGTTTCGAATGTAGGTTTCTGCTGGAGGAGCGACACCTTTCCCCTTGTCGATGGGCTTAGGAAACTGTACCCGGAAGAATGGAGTACTTGCAGGGAAGACCTTTTCACCGCTGATCATTTCTTCGACAACTCCAAAGAGATGAACATTGTTGCTTGCCCATGAATCGGGAAGCCATGGGGTAGCGTGGTATTGCAAGATAGCGTTTGCTAACCCGTTAATGATGTTCATCTTTTCCACAATGAGCAGTTTCGGTGCCCGAGTGTCATCAGCCATACCATCAAGAAGGTTGTGCAGTGATTTACGTTCACTGCCTGATCGACCGACTAGTGGCAAGTAGTGGAACTGGGCCTCCTCCGCGCTGGCGATGTGAGAAACCGGAGCTTCTGCTACAGTGAAGTGAGGACAGACCTCCACTGTACATTGTGTTCCAACCCGGGAGCCCTGAGAAACAGTTGTTGCGTATGTCACTATGTTGCCTGGAATCCCTGTGTGATTTCCGGGCTGCCTGTCGCTCGTTTCTGTCATGGTGACTGTCGCGCTCCCCGAAGTGGTGTTGCCGTTGACAACGTCGTTGAAATGCACACCCTTTTTCTGTAGCTTTTTGGGTTTCTTAATCTCCTTCCTTATCACCAGAGGGTGTGTCTGCTCCTCAATACTCGCGATCCAGCTCTTAGTTGTATCGCGATCACAAGTTTCGTCTGTTTTCGTACCGCCTACGTTTTCCAAGGCGACAGCTTGAACCCAAACTCGCGTTTCTCGGCAGGGACTGGAGTGCTCGTGACAGCCGATAGCAACTTCAAACTGGACTCGGTTCTGAGTGTTTGATGAGGGGGTAGACAAGATGTTGACTGCCGCAATATCCGCCGTGTGGCATAGGTGACCAGTACAAGACCACATAAGGGAAAAGGTCTTATATAACGAGTAGGCTGCATGTCTGATTTGACGGCATCGTTCGACACTGTTTAGACTTGTTGCTTTGCGTCGCACTGCGGGGCTTTGGCTAGCTTTATGGATGGGATGCTGGTCTCCTTGCTCGATCTTCAACAGCCAGACAATGTCATCACTCAGAGCCCTGAAGTCGTTTATGTTGGTATCCAAAGTGTTGATAGATTTTTGGATCCCATTCTCTTTCCAGCATAGGCGAAACCTCTTGGCAAGTTCTTTGGAACTCCCGGGTTTCATATCCATTTCCAAGAAAGATTCCAGAACACGGTATATAATAGTCAGGGAATCGCAGAATTGCCTCAGCATGTCCTTCCAGAGACCGAAGCTGCGGCTTAATGCAGGTCTGTCAGCTCGTCGGCCAGCATCATCCTCGCTCAACTGACGACCGAGCTTGCGAAGCTCGTCATCGTTTAACAGCAGGCTTTCTGCTCTAGCCGGGTCTCTCGTAATTGATTCAAGAATGCGCACGACGGCATTTCTGAAGAGCTGTTCTTTCACCCTGATGGTTTGGTCCAGTCTTCGGATTTCGTGAGAGTACTTGCGGAAGGTTTCGACTTTTTCGGAGAGGGTTTGGTAACTCTGGCATAGCTTGAGGGCAATGGGGATGGCTCCGAGTGCTACTCCAGCGGCCTCCATTAGTCCCGTGTATTAGACGCTCCTTAGAACACCTGATATTGCTTTATTTGACCACTGGTATCAAATAATATCGACAGTGTGTCCGCTGAGACAACTTCGTCCGTGAGCTGGAGGAAGATGGATCAATTCATATAGACGTCTGCGGGGTAAGAGCCTGGTCCGAATATGCCCCTGTCTATCAACTCGCCAATCAGCCTTACAGACTCTGGCATCAGAAGCGGGGTCAGGCTGCAATTTCTAGAGCCGAAATATCGTTGGAAGCGGGACTAAAAGGGAAGGACAGGTAGGCATTTGTCAATTCCACATCTCAACCAACGGCCGGGATATAATCCGGTGGACGACGATGTCTTCCCCTCCAGCCTCAGAGGGCTACCCGCGAGGGGCTGGCATAGACATTCAAAGTTGGGTTACTGAGCCGGGCGGTGCACCACCTACTGGTATTATCAGTAGTTTGTTTGAAACTATCCTCGATGCGGGTATTGAGGTTGCGAAGCTAGCCCCAGAGGCTGAGCAATCACGGAGACTCCACGGAGAACTTGAGCGATTCGTCCTTTGGGGGCATGGGGCTTCCATCTCCAGCGGACAGCTAGACGATGTGCTTTCTAGGTCCCGAGACCTACGTCAAACAGTTCTGCCGGCTATCTACGGTCTCGGCAGAGTCTTCGTCGATGACCTACTGCGGGCATATAGAGCCGAGGACGCCCAGCTGCGCTCCCCTTACACTTCCCCAACAATTCGGACACTTCAAAAGCAGTTGGAAACGATTTCATCTATATCAGAAGACGACCGAGCACTAGGTTGGGAAAACCTATCGGATGACGAAAATACTAACGATACAGTATCAGAGGTCATCGATATTATTGAGTTTTATATCAACTGCCTAATGGACATGTCTTCTTTGCTGGACGCAATAGAGGTTGATGAAGACGAAGATCTCGAAACGAGGCTGGAGACGTTCAATGTTGATACTGAGCTAGCTCGTCTCTACTGCCGTCGGATTCGCGACCAGTTCCCCGAGTTACCAAAGTTCCTCGTGGAGCGCCTTGGGAAGGCGAACGACTTACGTACATCCCAGCTCAAATCTCTTCAGCTCCAAGTTCAAATACAACCCACTGACGAGAGGGGAAGGGCTGGAAAGGAAGATCGTTCAATCCAACACAGCGAGAACTTGCTCTCAAATGTCAAGAGGGAGATGACAGTGACCAGCGGCACTTACGCATCCCAAATGTCCGAGTCGGTATTTGATAAGACGAACCCAACATCATATCATCCCGTCCCTATCGCTAAAACGAACCCGGATGGGATTATAGTCCCATGCGATGATGCACAATCGTTTGCTAGCTCCTCATCTTTCGCAACCTCCTCGTCAATCACTAGTAGGCGCTGTTTGCGTCGAGCGCCCCCATTACCGGAAATCCAGCCAGTTCAATGCCCAGCATGCCACAATATCCTCCATGGAGTGGATACTGAAATAGCTTGGAGGTATGTATCCTCTACGTATCTTCCATATATCATCTGACCACTAAAAATAGTCTTTGTTTCCAGGAGGCATATTTTTTGGGACCTCCAGCCTTACATCTGCACTGTAGAATCTTGCCGCTTGGAGCAAACCCTCTTTCGGTCAAGAGAGGAGTGGATCAGGCACGAGATATCTCACACAGAGCCACGCAACGCGGTCTTTTCGTGTATTTTCTGCTCGAAGCAGAGGGACAAAAGAGCATTTAGGGACTCCCAAGCCTACTATAAGCATTTGGGGAGGCACCTATGCCAAGTCTCTCTTGCAGTTCTGCCACAAGATCGGGACGATGATAGTGAACTCGACAGCGGGCAGAGCGCACTGACAGTCGACGTGGACGACTTGCCAAGTGACGCCAGAGAATCGCTAAGCGCATTGCTCAAGGACATGACACTTTTATCGCAGGATTTGAATCGCCACTTTCTGCCACAGAGTAGTCTGCAAGAGACCCTCACAGAAAAACGAGTTTCCCAAACCCTTGCCGAAGCGTTTGCCCAGTCCAAAAGAGAAATCTCGCCTGACCGACAGGCAGAGATTACTCGGAAAGTTTTGCTCCCTACGGAGGTTACAAGACTGAAAACACCGAAACATCTAGCGACGAGAAGACAAATATTCGCCATCCTCGTACTGATCGACGCAGTTGAAACAATCGTTGATTTCATTGACGAAGGTATTTACGACGGCGATCTCCCATTTGACTGGGTTGGGATTGAGTTTGGGAAGAGAGACGACAAGGGCGGGCTACAGCCTATTGGCCTCTTCGCAAGGTGGGAAGCGAGAAAGGTTGAGCTGTTCTTTCACCAGCAGTGGATGGTCCACGTCCCCATTTTCAACATATGCAGGGGGAACGGGGAGTCACCACCGCATTACGAAATTGGCCCGTATGCTATCTTACCTTTCATAAATGTGAAAGTGATTGGTAAACGAGGTTATGGTACTGTCTCCAAGGTGGAAATCGAGAGTAGCCACCACAACCATCCTACTAAGCTGGTAGGTTCCTACCGTCCATGGTCCATATATTTACATTTACTAGTATAATTTATCATTCTAACACTGCACTCAAATACAGGGCAAAAAGCTATATTTTGCTATCAAAAACTATGATGATATGCCTTCATCTCCGAGCAACTTTACCCAGCAAATCTCCCACCTCCACTCATCGACTGGCCACCCACACTTGGTTCAACTTCTCTGGACCTACAATAATGGCCCCAACTACCATCTCGTATTCCCCTGGGCAGATGGAAATTTGAGAGATTTCTGGGAGATACATAATATGCCTATACCGGATCAAGCTGGTGAAAATCACCACCGCCGTGCTGCGGTATGGTTTGCCCAACAGTGCCTAGGTATTGCTCAAGGTCTCCACGTAATTCACAAGCGTGGGCATGATAGTGTCGGGGATATTAAGGGAAAAGAAGGGCCTGGCTGGCATGGCGACTTGAGCCTAGACAACATTCTTTGGTTCCGCGATTTCGATAGCCGAGCCCGGGGTTACAGCCTTGGGGCGTTGAAAATCTCTTTGAGCATGACGACGTCCGGATCCAATTCCGTCTTTCCAAACGACCCGTATAGACCCCCAGAATGCAATATCGACATGTACCGATCAATTTTCACGGCTTGCGACATTTGGGCCCTAGCATGCATCCTGCTAGACTTTGTGACGTGGTTCCTTGAAGGCGGCCAGGGGATTGAAAAGTTCAAATCCGCGATATTGGCAGACGCTGATAATTATTTCGTGAAATCAGTATTTTTCTCTTACGTGGAGGTCTGTGATGAGCACGGCACCCCCAAGACCTTTGCGAGGGTCAAGGGGTCTGTTGTTAATGTAAGCAATGAAGCAACATACTCTCATCATGGATAGTCAGGCTAGGCGTGCTAACTATGATGACAGCAATTTGCAAGGCTCTACAATCACCCGGGGGGCTCTGAATTTACGCGAGACTTGTTGGGATTTGTGAGATTAAGGCTGCTTCATCCGGACCCTAATCTACGAGCCAGTTGTCCTGAGATCGTTTCCAAATTCGAAACGCTCTACAAATCTTGTGAGGAGAATCGAAATTACTGTCTTGGACGGCAGACCATGCCTCCACAGAATGAAGACAGAGTGCGCGAGATTCTGATTCCCAAGCAGGTGGAGTTAAATCAGGAGGAGAGAGAGAGGCTGCAAGGATACATGCATACGCTCCCAGGGCTAGACGAAAAATACCTGATCGACCCCAGCACCCACGGCGACGACAGCATTCCATCATCGGGAACCAAGATAGAAAAGAAGAGGTTTTGGAAGAGCTTGGCATGGAGAAGGAGATAACGCACACTACGTTGACGGTTCGGGTCTACAGAGTCTCGGCTTGGATGGTGCCACCCCACCCAGGGTATACCTACAAGTGCCGCAGAACATGGGGCTCAGGCTCAGAACGGCACGCCAGATTATGGAAGCGCAGAATTCAATGTTTACCCATAGAAAGCATTCCGAACGTGCTCTAAGATGATTATAAACAATAAAACTCCCCGAATTTATTAATCCCTCTTCTACGCTCGAGCCGTATGCTATAACTCGAATATAACGGGGTGTGATTTCTTGGATTCTTTTTCTATTGTATTTAACTACTTACAATCTTCGAAAGGAATCGAAAATTCAATCGCCGGGGGGTTTGTGAGCTTCCGGGGATGGGGAGTCCGCCTTTACTTGTTGGACCAGAGGCCCTGGAGGTTTCCTTCTGTGTCGACAAAGTGGGCAAAATAGCCCATTCCTTCCGCGGCGATTTTGGTCTTTGGTCTGATGGTTTTCCGAGGACATGGTTAGCGAATTGAACTAAATTTTTTTTTCCTCTCTCTACTTTTGTTTTTGGTGAGGTGACGGGATTGATCGATTGGAATGTGAGTCCATGATTGCCATGTCGTGTACTTCGTCCTTCCGTGTCCGGGCCCGTGTCCAGCGCCGAGCTTCCGGATGAGGACCCCGCACTCGGCCCCATCTACCGAGGAAAAGAGGCACACTGAAAGAAAAAAAGAGACGAAAAAGCAAGGAGAAAGTAAAGACAGGAAAAGGGAGGGGGAGAAAAAATAGAGAAGAAAATAAAAACTCACACATCCACCCTCCCCCCATTCTTAACAACCGCATCCAAAACCTCCTCAATACTCTCCACCGAAAAAGAAGTCATAACAGACCGATGCCTCACCTTCCCCCCACCAACCTCAGAAGACTCTGACTCCTCGCGCCACTTCGGAACCGACACGTCGGGAGCAGACACCTCGACGAAGGCGCCGTTGACGGCCGGGTGGGAGAAGATGAGGAGGGAGGAGGTGCCCGGGATCTGGGAGGCTGGGATGGTTTGGGAGGGATCGGAGGACCAGCCGAGGACGGAGGCGTAGAAGGCGGAGGCGCGAGGGAGGGAGGTGGCGGGGATTTCGAGCCAGCAAATGCGGCTGTGGGTGATTTTGCAGTCGGGCTGGGAATTGAATAGTGGTTAGTTTGAAGGGATTTCAAGGGCGGTGGGAGGGGGAGGGGGATGTGGAAGGGAGACATGCGTTATGCTCAGGCATGGTTGGTTTGAGTTGATGTTTGTTAATATGTGAGGGTGTGAGTTTGGACTTGTCGGCCGTGTTCAAGTTGAAAGATGATGGAATTCAAGTTGAAGGATCAAATGGAATATAGTCATCTTCTTATACTTTTTAATTCTAGGTGAAGATCTGAAGACGGGGTTTTTCTTTTTGAAAGCCCTCTGAAGGCAAATCCGAATCTATTTTCTCGATTCCTCATCATTTCGGGCAAACCACTCCCCGATGCATCATATCCAAAGCACAAACAAGCAAGGGACTGGGAGGAATGAAGAATCGCTGCACAGGATTACGTTGAAATGCTGTGCGAGGATGTGAATCTTGGTGATCGTCATGGCTCTCACAGATTCGGGGTTGTGGCGTTTGGCGTCGGGAAGGATTAGTGATCTGGAGCTGGGCGAGAGATCTGCCTGTGGCTGAGGGTGATGCCCAAAGGTGGGAGATGGAAGGCCATAAGGGATTTGAGCCGCTGAAGCGATTTATCAAATAGTTAGATCGATCGATCAAAATATAGATCTTTACGTGGAATGTTAAACATTAATTTGACAATGTGAACGAAACGAAGTGTAGCGTGGACAAGGCGATAACACTGATTCCGTCGTTGGCAGTTGCGTCCAATCACTATAGCAGAGAGTGGCTTGATACTTGATATCTCGTCTCGTTCTTGACCCGTTCTCTATCTTAACATCACGATGCTTCAAATCGTAGCCGTTCCCTCTCCGTACCGACAATCGGAAACCCACTCTCACGTACGCTACTCTGTGATCTTCCGTAGGCTCGGCCACCCTAGTGTCGATGATGGATTAATGGCAACGAGGGGCAAATGAGTGGATGCCAGGCCATGCTGACCCAATGTCCTGCACTATTTTCTGGATGATGATCACCTACCACCCCACCTCGGGCGACTACAGTCAGGAATGGAAGGGATGTTCGCATCTCGGAATCTGTAAAGCGACATTGAAATAAAGGACCCGAGACTCTATCGCCACGGCGTTTGGCTTTTCTTCCCCACGTGGTTAGTAAATGTGACCGTTGCAATTGTCTCGAGTGAAGCCACGCTTAAGGTTTGAAGCTTGCAATTAGCAGTTTATTGGAGGAGCCTTGATTATCCGTACTTGTAGGTCAAGGAGAAGATGCGAAGATGCCCTCGCTGCTCTCAACTTTGTCTTGTTTCCTGGACAGAGGCTGTATGAAGTTTTTGTCTTCCATCCCCCGTCACCGTCAATTCTTCCCAAAATCCCAACCCTCGGTCGGCAGCGCCTGCTCCAAGTGGATTGAGCGGAATTCTGTCGGGGCGGGGACGACCCATGTGATTGATGACGTCTTGGCAGGTCATTGAATATTATTGTGCATTGTGTTGGGAACAAACAAGTACAAAGTACGATGTACTCGCGTATTATCTGTCCGCCCCTTGCAAGTTGTGACCAGAATGGGCGGGAAGTGGGAAGTGACCGGTCGAGGCAACTTCTCAACTCCTGAAGCCCTGGAAACCTTGCGCATCGCGATTGGCGGGAGCCAGTGGGCAGGAAAGATACATCACATAATTCCTTGTTCATTCAATTCCATTCATCAAAACTTTGACAGGCTGCCGCTGCGGATGCACCTTCCTCCTCGTCACACTGCAAGAGCGTAAAACCAGCAGGAGCGGCCGCCGCAAAAGGCGCAAAAAGCAACATGTGAGGTAACATGTGAGGATTTACTGTAACAGGCAGGAACTGCCAGCCTGGTCCTTGGACGAAACAAAATACGACATTGAACAATAGAAAAAATAAAAAGACAAGAAAACATCTACATCGTCATTCATTTCCAGATTATTGTGAGCCGTCCAAGAAAATTGTGTGTGCTACAAGGCCGCTCCAATTATGACCCGACCCGTTCCGTCAACACACCATCCGGGTTTCGTGGGGTTTTTTTAAAGGTTGGCTCAAGATCTCGTCAAGTACAAGGTACGAAAGTCGCCCTCTCGCCTTCTCGGTGCGTGCTGCCCGATCACCAATCGCCGTCAATGATCAAACCCCGCCACACTTTGTTTTCTCAAGGAGGACGCCGAATTGAGTCTGCTTCCCGACGTGGCTGTGTCAATATCTCCGACGAAGTTACGGACGACGAAGTAACGGACGACAAGGTGGGCTTGAACGACGTGAGTACGAATGTCAAAATTAAGCATGGAAAAGTCGGAAAAGAACTCCGGACGACGTCACCACTTGTCAAAACCGGGCGCCCTGGGAACTTACTCCTTGGTACTAACCGGGCATCCTCTTGTTCTCTTTTGGACATGACGGACATGGCATCAAGCCTGGCTTGGCAGTCGAAAATTAAATTCAATTCAGTTCCGACGGTTCCTGTTCCCCGCGGAACTACTTGACTAACAGACAATCAACTAGGGCCACTCTAGTCGATCGGAACTCGAACGAACTGCTTTTGACGCTTGCGAGATTATTCGCATCGGCCGGATGGGCGATCATCGAGTCGATCGGCTGCTAAATCAAAGCACCCGCGCCAATACCGACTCCTAGACCGAATCGACGAACCCGGGGCTGCTGAATTTCACCTTTTCACCCCTCTGCATCATCTGTTTTTCTATGTGTCTTCGGTTTCTCGTATCCTGTTGGCCGGCCCAAGAGACCTGACGGACCAGCCGTTGCTATTAGTTGTTCATACATGTTCCCGCGTATTTGAGATGCACGCGCCGTAACCCTGACGTTTGGTCCTATGCCTGCCGCCCTGCTCCTGCCAGCTGTTCTGCGTGGGCGAGCTTATCGTCCAAGCCAATTATCGTCTACCTTTTTCTTGACGCCTGCATTAATCCTTTTCTTGAAAACCTTTTCGCTTTATCTCCCCGCACTGAGCTGCACACTGCACACTAACTAAGCCGTAGAGCCAAGAGCGAGGGGACGAGAGGGAAAACGAGGGGAAGAAAAAGAAAGACCTCGACCTTGGCTGGGGAGGTTGGTCAGGCGGGCGGGGGCTTATATTCCAATGAACCGGGTTCTCGATCCGTGACGTCGGTTTTTATGACGTGGGAGCCGAAGAGGCGAGTCGCTCGCTTATCCGAGCCTCGACCGCCTTTTTTTCCAACTTTTTTTTTTCCTTGTTCCTATTTCCTCTTTTCAGTTCCAGAGGCTCGCTCTACCGCCCAGAGCACAGATATCCCCGCTCCGCCTGTCACTGTGCGTCCTTGGGGCTAGTCCTAGCCGCCCTCAACCCCATCGAGCTATCTTTAGTTTCTCTCTCTGCCGCTTGGTTCGGGTGGAGAAGAATGGCGCTTCGTCCTCCAGAAAAAGGCTCATGACCTTTATATGCCGAGCCCACAAAGTAGTTTACCGATTGCCCGGCGACTGCACCGCACTGCACTACCGCCCTCCATTCACCTTCCCTCACAAATGCGTTTACCCCGGGCCTCAATCCTTAACCAAAACCTAGTTTGGCTTTCATTGCCTTCTTCTGACGTCCATCACACATTGATCTGTTCATCCGTCAGTGATCTTTCTCTACCGAAAGGCGGAACGAGAACGAGAACAAGAACTGCAACAGTAACCCATCCCAAGGATTCGGTGGCGGGTCTGCCATTCAGCCAGCCAGCCCTGCCCAACGAAACCAGACTCAACCCAGCACAACGCAACACCGCATCCACGTCCACCGAAGCGGTAATTCGTCACATCCTGGCCCTTTTATTGCTCGATTTTCTCATTTCCTTTTCTACCTTGCACATTGATTAGGTCCCAGCCCGACCCTGAGCCCTGAACGCCAGCATTGATATTGACGGGACACTGACGAGTCCCTGCTGGCCGTTTGTTGGTCTGGTTTACACGTTTTTTATGTTGCAATACAAATTTACAGTCCTCGTTATTATTCGCGCATTGACCCACAAGATCCATATTTCACCCGTCCTTTGATATCACATCCTAGCCTCACGGATTTTTTCTATAATTTTTTTTTTTCCCCTTCACTTTTGGTCCTCTTCCTTCTGCTAGGATTTGTCCTTTCCTCACTTCTCTCGACGAACGGCGTCTGGAATCGGCAACACAAGACATTCGTTTCCAGGTCCCTCAACCTGAAGACACACAGGGCGTTCCCTTCTCCCCATCTTGGCATCCCATTTTTGTCAGTCAAAGCCGGACGTCGAGAAAAGGTGTGTTTTCGGCAGTGTCTCGGATGCCGGCGACACAACTCGACTCGAACATTTCCTTTTCTTTTTTATTTTCTCTTCGCTCCGGAAACAACATCAATAGACGAAAATAAGCCTCCTCTAACATCAAACTTGCTTTGAGCTTCGACTTGGTTCATAAATGTCCAAAATTGTCACCGACGACTTGTACTGGGACTTTATTTGCAATTCCATCGAGCCCTCGTGAGTTGTGGCTGTATTCCTCGAGCGGCATTTTATATATTCACATTGGTTTGCTGGATATTCGCCATTTCAACCCGACGAACAACCCCATGGTCCGGCCTTCCGTCTTGACACGCCATAGAGGCTAGCCCTCCTGCAGGACGCACATCATCACATCCACAGATCCCGCTCTCTCCACCGACAGAAATCCGGCAACTTTTTTTCCCTTTTGGAGAGGCGTAAAGCGGCAATGCAATGGCAGTGGCAGTGGCAGCGTTCGACCTTCGCACATCTCACATTCCCACACCCGACACTTCACCATTGTGGGTACCCTTCGACTCGCCGCCATTTCCATTATCCCCCTCTAAACTGCTGCTCTTTCTCCCTGCCTCTTAAGCAGAGCGAGCCCGCCGCACCAACCTAACCGAGTCGTGAGACCTCGATATGTCTACGTCCCTAGCTTCGGGGAACGCAGGCATAGAGGATCGCGGCCCTGCCGTCTTTGCCGTCACCACAACCACCTTGGCGCTTGCCACAACTTTTGTCACCGCGAGGCTCATCTGCCGCAAATTTATTGTGAAAAATATTAGCTGGGACGACCGCATCATCGTCCTCGCCTGGTTCATCGCCTTTGGGCTTTCATTTACTATTAATTTCGCCTCCCGGAAGGGGCTTGGGCGCCATGATGCGGATATCCACGAGAAGGACTGGGGCGCGTTACGCCGCAGCGAATATGTATTTTCCGTGCTCTATGTATGCAACCCCTTTGTGCTGGGAGTTTTTCCTTCTTTTTTTTTTTTTTGGTTCCTTTGTCCCTTTTTTGGGAAAATTTCCCTCTGCATTTACTTTGTTTTCCCGCTCTCGGGGGAGCACGGGCACGCGACATGGGATGTTGGACTAACAACTGCTTTCGTTATAGAATCCCGCCTTGATGGCAACCAAAACTAGCATCCTCATCTTCTACCTCCGCATTGCGAGAGACACCCAAAAAGTACTTCGCCTAGCGTCATGGGTCACGCTTGGCATCGTCAACCTTGCCGGCACCGTCTTGACGTTGATGAACATTTTCCAATGTCGACCCATCCACGCGGCTTGGACCGGATGGGACAAATCGGGCATATGCATCCCGATTCTCACCGAGTTTATCTGCGCGTCGCCAGTTAATATTGTTACCGATCTCGCGATTCTCGCACTGCCGATTCCGGTGCTCACGGGCATGAACCTGCCGCCGCGGCAAAAGACCATTCTCGTCATTACATTCGGACTCGGTATCTTCGTTACGATCGTCGATGTCGTACGCATCTACTATCTCCAGCAGGCCATCGGTACCGTGCCGACCTCGATCAGCAACGACCCTGACTCTAAGCTGGGCCAGGAGGAATTCGCCTTTAATGCATCGCTGTCGCTGATGTGGAGTGCAGTCGAGGTCAATGTGGGAATGACTTGCGCTTGCATTCCCACTCTAAAACCTTTGATTATCAAGATTTTGCCCGCCATGATTATGGACCCTAAGAGAGCAGGGAATGAGTCCAAGGAGAGGAATTCGATGATGGTGGTGGCCAATGGGCGGAGATCGTACGTGGGTCCAGGCGCTTCGCCGCTGATCGACGACCCGCACCACCGGCAGCCTTCTCCACTGAGTCCGCCGGGAGAGGCGAGGACGTGGGACTCTCCGAGAATGCGGATGGTCGATTATAATCGGCGGTCCGGAATGTTAGACGCGCCGCCGGCCCTTGCCGAACTCGGGTCTCCCACATCTATAGATGATCATCGACGCACGACGCTCGCGACTCTTTCAGCTACTTCAGCATCGGGGACGTCGAGACGAGAGAGTGCCATCTACTTTGGTTTTGTCAACATGGCGAAGCCAAAGAGCATGCTGCGGTGCTCCGTCTCGGAGTCCTGGAAGTACTGCACAGCAGTGACGATACTCTTCTTGCTTTGGGGCATGTCGTATGGGTTCCTCAGCACGTTAAACAATGCAGTCTTCATCATAGCCGGCATGTCGCAGGCGCAATCGCTCGGGCTCACCAGCGCGTATTTTGGAGGAGGGTATTTCTTCGGACCTTTGCTGGTCGGCGAATGGATTCTGCGACGAGACGAGCACCACCGGACACCGAGCAAAAGGCGTAAAGGCAAAGAGGGGATCGGCGGCTTCAAAGTGACATTTATGGTGGGACTCTGCTTTTACGGTGTGGGAACCATCATCTTTTGGCCATCGGCGGTGACCAAGTCCTTTGGTGGCTTTATGCTCAGCCACTTTGTCGTCGGGTTCGGACTATCGATCCTCGAGACGGGGGCCAATGCCTTCCTCATCCTCTGCGGACCGCACGAGTACGCCGACTTGCGGCTGATGTTGGCGCAGGGGATTCAGGGCATCGGGAGCGTGCTGGCGGTGGTGCTCGCACAAAAGGTGTTTTTCGCGTCGCTGGAGCCTGACACCGGAGCCAAATCGATGACACTGATCAACGTTCAGTGGACATACTTGGCCATCACACTCGCTTGCGTGATTCTCGCCCTCTTCTTTTATTACATGCCGCTGCCGGAAGTGAGCGACAGTGAACTCGACCGGGCGTCGAAGCGGCTGCCGGTGGACCCTCAGAAACGAAGCATCGGCGGTCTGCAACTGCGCACGTGGACGCTTGTCCTCGCGGTGGTGGGCTTGTGGACATACATGGCGGCGCAGGAAGGGGCGAGCAGCTTCTTTCGACAACTGCTCGCGTCGGTGCTACCGCCGGACAGCAAGGGCTCCTCAACCGCGGACCTGGGGGACCTGACGGACGACCGAGGCTTAACTGACGATAAGCTACCGGGGCTCGTAATGTCTATTCCGGACTATCTACTCATCGCACAGTCCGGGTTCGCATTCGCGCGGTTCATCCTGGCGTTTATCCTGTACAAGGGCCTGTCGAACCCTCGCGTGCCGCGCCCGCGCACGCTCCTGGCGATTTGCGTATCGCTATCAGCGATATTCGCGCTGCTGATGATCGTCGTAAGGCCGAAGAACCCGAACCACGCGGCGATTCCCGTGATCCTCCTGTACTTTACCGAGGGCCCCTGCTGGCCGCTCATATTCTCGCTGGGCCTGCGGGGTCAGGGCCGCAGGACGAAGCGGGCGGCGGCGTTCATCACGATGGGCGGGTCCGGGCCGGCGTTTTTCCCGTTCGTCATGTACGCCATCATCAAGCGGTCGAACTCGGTGCAACTGGCGTACGTGGTGGTTGCGTTGCTGCAGTTCTTGACGGGGGTGTACCCGCTTTTCCTAATGCTGGTGCGGGATGCGCGGGCTATGGTGGATCCGGTGGTGGGCGGGGACGATATGGATGATGGGGACGATGAGCGTGGCAGTGGTGGTAGTCGGGGAAGTGGTGGAAGCCGTGGTAGTGGGGGTGGTAACCGCAATTCTAACGACGAAGAGGAGGGCGAGAACAGCAACGGAGACAACAACGCGAACGACAACAATAATAACAACAAGAACAACACCAATAACAGCCGCGGCGAAGACGAAGAGAGGGCCGTATCGAGACAACTCCAGGAGGGCAGGAGAAGCAAGAGCCGGCAGAGCGTGATGTGGGCGCCCGGGGACATGGTGGCGGAGTATTTGAGGAGGCTACCGGAGGGGTTCCGGAAGGGGTCGGTGGCGACGACGGCGGATTCGACGACTACGGCGGGGTCGTCTTCGCCTAAGGAGAAGGAGAAGGAGAAGGAGAAGGAGGGAGGGAGGAATGCGCCGGTTGTTTATTAGAGGTGGGGGACGGTTTGGGAGACTTTTACAGAGATACGAATGGTACGCAAACGAGAATGGGGTTTGTTGTTGTCTGGGATGGCTTGGGATGGTAGGGGAAAAGGTTTTAACTGGGAAGAGAGAGCATGTGCGAGAGGCAACATTTGAGCATTGAGCATTTGGGCGTCTTGGGAGTACGATTTTGATTTTCTGGATCTTGGGTTTCACCTGGCTGGTGGTGTGGCTGCTGAGCTACCAAAACTACGACACGATGTATGACTGATGATGAGCCTTGCCCTTGTATTGGGGATGAAGAGAAGCGAATATTTGGTAGGAGTCGCGATACTAATAATACCGGTGCTGATTTATTTCGGCGGCGGGCGCCTGATTCTGTTTTTTTCCAATTTTTTTTTGTTCTTTTCTTTCTTTTTCTCCCCTTGACGGTATTTCCGTTGTTTGGGAACTGATGAGATGATGAGTGTGGGATTAATTTTTATCCTGTACTTTTGTGTATCCTTTCATTTTCAGGAAATATTCCCTTTCCTTCTCGTTTGAAGATCATTCCGTTTTACGTCCATCTTCATTTTCTATTATTTTATTTTATTTTTAGAAAAGACCTCACCGGCCTTTGTGTGACTCGGATGCTCTTCGGAAGGGGTTATTGAATGTTGGTCAAGACCGGGATTGAGGAGGATCGGGATCTTGCATGTTGGGGGCTGCATGTATGTGTATGGGCGGGTGCTTTCGTACTTGGTCGTACGAATTAGGTAGAGTTGAGAGATTTTTGTGCTTCTCTTCTCTCCTCATGGGCATGGGTACAATAATTCGGATGATATTGGTTATTGATGGGTTGGCTCGGGAAATGAGTCCTGGTTTCTGGGTCTTCGACTTTTACTTCGCACTGACGTTTGGGGGCAAACCCTAGAAGGGGTACTGAAGTATTGCCTGGTTGAGACGTGACATGGAGAAGAAGAAAGGCTAGATATATCTAAGTTTGTACTTCGTACATCTCGACTCGTTCCTCGAAAGCTTGCAGCTCACTGTCGCCGCCATGAACATCCACGAACTCAAGAGAATGAATCGGAAAGACAGCAGAGAGCACAACGTCTCATCACATCACATCGGATCACATCACCCTTGATCGAGATGCGACGCAGCCGGTCTGCTTCCCCCACTTCTTCCGGAGGAGGGTGTCGAACTGTACTTGTGTTATTATCTCGTATGCTTCGAAGACTAGAAGCTTTGATTTTATTTTTGATTTAACTTTTGATTTTTATTTTATTTTGTTTTGTTTTTCTGTTAATGGGATCCATGTAGGGATGTTCAATTTCTCGTGGTTGGTAGCCTTGGCGCGAAGCCCGGCCGGAGGAAAACATTCCCCCGCCGCCGTGCACCCTCCATGTCTTCGAAGAAAGGGTTCTTTTGCCTCGTCCATCTCGAACGAAGTACTTCTCTAGTTCATGGTGGTCTCCAGTCTTGTAATGAAACCCAAGACATGAGAGACACACATGTAAAAAAAGACACTTTTGGGGAGCTGGGAAATGGGAGTCCCACAGCCCGGAGATTAGACTGTTCTACTTCGTATATTTTTCATTGTTGATAGATAGAACTGGCTCTCAGAGGTACGGAGCTTACACCTCATTAGAGCTATTTATTGAATTTGACAGCACTTTGTAGCAAAAAGACTGGGAAGAGAGAAGAGAAAAGAGAGAGAATCGATCTTGGACATGTGGGCTTTGCCCCTGGTCAACATCATCTCCACCTCGCCGTCTTCGTCCACCCATGTCTCTCCACTCCCTGCACCTCACAGATTTGTTCCAGAAGCAAAAGGGGAATCCCTGAGAGCATCGGAGGAACTCAACGCGATTTTTGCACCTTTGCCTGCAAAAAAAACCAAGATGGCACCCCCTTCCCGCGGTTGTCCATGCGCGCCCTACTCCATCTTGAGTTTAGTCCTTGAGCTTGACCCACCACCACCACCACCCCCGTTCTGTGAAGCCCCTCCTGGAGTGGGCATGGAACATGTGGGAGAGACATGGTGAAAGGGATGGGAAAAGGAAAGTTTAAAGTTGGGTTTTTATGGGGGGTCCTGCCCTCTGTTTTATGATTCGATTTTTTTTCTTTTCTTTTTTTTTTTTTCTTTTCTTTTTTTTTTTTTTGGCTTCTTTTTTTTATGAGGCAAGGTGTCTTGATGTCTCGCAGTGACAGTGGTGTTTTACGTTCTTTTTTTATTTCCTTTTTGTTCATCTGAGCTGAGGGGCGAAGGTTTTTGTATTAAAGGCGCGATTTATGCCTGCGGTGCTGCGGATGTAAGAGGAGCTCGGCGATCTTCGTGATATCCCTCACTTCGAAGCTTTAAGACGCGCCGATAGAAGTGCCGAAAAAAGAAACCGAAAGAAAAAGACAATAGGAAACAAGCGCTAGAAAGCGACAAGAAACAATGGGCATCGCGACCCTTCCGACGGTGGTGGCCGTCGGAGGCGCCTTTGTGGCCTACGCGACGTATTCGGCCATCGTGAGTCTACGGACCAACATCGAAGCCGCCAAGAGGAGTGGCTTGCCTTACATCATATCCCGTGTGTCCTCCTTATCTTCTTCTTCGCGATCCTCAGTCTTGCTACTCCTCCACAGTGTTTCGGAGCTGACTTTCTCTCAGCCCTCTCGCCGATATGGCTGCCGGCGCAAATCACTCACAAACTCTGGATGCCCATCGTCCGAACCTGTTTCCCCAAATCATGGTGGGAAAACTGGATAATGTGAGTCTCTCTCCTTCTCCCCTTCCCCCCTCTCTCCCTCGACAGTAGCAAGAGCTAAATCCCTTGCAGCTTCCTAACCCAAGACTGGTCCTACATCCACAACCACGCCATCTTCGCCCTCTACGGCCCAGCCTTCTTCGTTGTATCCCCCTACTCCACCATGCTCCTCACCTCCTCCGCCGAACTCATCCGCCAAATCACCCACCGCCGCGAACATTTCCCCAAATTCGTCGAAACCTACGAGATCCTCACCCAATTCGGCGACAACACGCTTACGACAGAGGGTGCGCTGTGGCGAGTGCACCGGCGCGCGACGGCGGCGAGCTTCAATGAGCGGAACGCGGCGTTGGTGTTTGCCGTTGCTATTGAGCAGACGCAGGGGTTGGTGGAGAAGTGGATGGCGGATCAGGCGGGTGAAAGGGAATCGAGGCCTGTGGAGACGATTGATAGTGATACGATGAGGTTGGCGTTGAATATCATTGGCTATGTGGGCTTCGGGTTGAGGTTGTTGTGGCCGGGCCAGAGGTTGCCGGAGGGGGTGGATGGGGAGAGGTTGGAGAAGTATTCGGGGTTGGAGCCCGTTGGGAGGCATAGCATGAGTTTTGTGGAGACGATTGCGGTTGTTTTGGAGAGGATTTTGTTGCTGCTTGTTGTGCCCGAGGGGATTTTGAGTAGGTTTCTCTGCTTTTTCTTTGGAAGGGCCCTTTCTTTGTTTGGACTTGTGTGAAACTGACATGAGTCGTTCAGGATATCTCCCATTCAAACAGGCCAAGGAAGCCGCCGAAGCCTACCAGAACTACGTTCAATACATGGAGGAACTCCTCGAGGAGAAGCTCCAAGACATGCGCAAAGGCTCCTCCGACACCGAAGAACCGGGCATGGACATCATGGGCCAACTCGTGCGATCAACCTACGGCGACGATGTCAAGAAAATATCACCCATAAACGGGACAAACGGCACGATGCTACTTAACGGCAACAAACCGAACGACGTCGAAAAGACCGGCAAACTAAACAAATCCGACATCCTCGGCAACGCCTTCATCATGCTCGTAGCAGGCCACGAAACCACCGCCAACGCCCTGCACTTCACCTTTATCGAACTAGCGACGAACCCCTCCGCACAGCGCGCCCTACAGCGCGACGTCGACGCTCTGCTGGGTCGTGACACGGATCCGCGGACGTGGAGTTACGAAGCGAGCGTGGGACCCTTGCTGGCGAGCATGGTGGGCGCGTGCATGAATGAGACGCTGAGGAAGTGGCCCTCTGTAGTGGAGGTGCCGAAGAAGGTGGCGGGCGGCGGGGACCAGGTTGTTAGTTTGGATGGGAGGAGCGTGGTGTTACCGGAGGGGGCGGCGATTAGTCTCGTGGCTGTGGCGGCGCATCGGAATCCGAGGTATTGGCCTACGAGGAGGAGTAGAGTTACGGGAAAGGAGACGGATTTGGATGATTATGTTCCGGAGAGGTGGTTTCGGAAGTGTGCGGGCGGTGAGGAGGAAGAAAAAGAAGGGAAACTGGAAACATCGACGACACCATCCAGTGCTACTACGGAATCCTACGAAGAAGGAGAGAACGAAGAGGACTTTGGGGGCTACAAAGGTCCCGATACGAGCGGAGAACTCTTCAGGCCCGAACGAGGCGCATACATCCCATTTTCCGACGGCGCGAGGTCTTGTCTCGGGAGACGCATCGCGCAGGTGGAGATCGTGGCGGCTCTGGCGGTCATTTTCCAGAAGTACAGTCTCGAGCTGGCCGTGGACGATTTCGTGGAAAAGATGAGCGACGTTGAGGAGATGGGAAGGGAGGAGAGGGAGAGGGTGTATAGGCTTGCGCAGGAGCGGTGTAGGAAGAGGATGAGCGAGGCGACGAGTGTTTTGACGTTGAAGATGCAGCCGGGGGAGGATGTGCCTGTGAGGCTGGTGAGGAGGGGTGAGGAGAAGTTTGTTAGTTGGATTGAGTGATGAGACTTGGCTTCGTCTTGTATAAGAGCTACGGCATTATTACGATTTGATCTGCGATTTTTTTTTTTTTTTTTTTTTTTTTTTTTTTTTGTATGATACCTGGGATGGGAGGATATGGGCATCGAGACTGGTTTCGAAATACAGCTAATACTGGATCCTGGACTACAAGGCTACGAGAAAAAAGTGAGGAGATGAGGACCAGGGCGTTTCTAAGCGGGATTCAATATCCGCGCTTCATCTGCCGGGCTTGCTGACCGAAGGACGGATTACCAAGAAAGGCAAACGGCAAAGGACAAAGGACTCCCGGAGTCCAGAGTTTTTCGCGTTTTTGGACACGCGACGAGAGAAGGAGAGAATGGGCGCAGATGATTGGTTGGCGATGGCGGAGACTGGAGATTAGGATTGCCTGTCGCAGTGGGTAGTGGGGAGTTTGGAAGGGCGGATGTGGGTGTCGTGATGTTGTTTGGCGGGTTGGGAAAGTAAACAATGGAATTTGGAGCAGGCGACCTTGTTGGGGACCAGCTCGACTATGACACTCATTCTCGTTGAAAGATGAGGTTCATGATGATGATGCGGTTCAATGGAGAGAGCACGAAGGCGAAGGGAAGCTCCTGCCACTGGTTGTTACCGAAGTGGGGGAGAAATTTTGGATTATGTCATTCATGGAGGAGAGTCGGCGTCGCGTCACTATCTCGTGATATCACCCATTGAGAAGGAGCTTCGATGAGCCAGGAAGAAAATTGACCCAAGAAGGAGAATGCTCAAAAACAATACAGAAAGAAATCGTCGGGGGCGGGAGCGAGAAATGGGAGGGAAAACTGCGAAGCATGAATGAAGCTGGCCTCTCTCAGTCGTTGTCCGGACAGAAAGAGGAAATCAAAACAAAACATAACAACATCCAGCATAATACTTCGTAATTTGTGCAGCTATTAATGCCCACTGAGGTATCAACGTACGAAGTAGATATACTCGAATCCCCCCTCAATGCCCCCACCCGATGTATCGAAATTGCGGTGCGTGAATTGTAAATGGATGTACATAGATGTAGAAGTACAAGGACTTCATCCTCTTCAAGTCGAGCTCTTCTCTTGACTCCCACCGCTCGGCTGCCACTTGCCTCCACCCGATCGATGTCATTGCTCATGGATGCGGGCAGGTACCACATAATGAAGTACCTGTACACGTTTCAGCTACTTGTCTCGTCCCTCTTCCAAGGTTCAAGCCCAAATCTCCCTTGTTCCTTTTCCAACGTCGCCCGCTGGTCTCGGTGATGCGTTGTGTTGCTCCTCATTGCTCTTCGTTGCTCCTCATTGCTCTTCGTTGCTCCCCTTTGGCCAGGCTCTGACACCACTCCTCCCACTACTACCACCACCACCAGCCACCGACTTTATTATGCTTGCCGCCCCTCAACCCAAGACAATTGAACATTGTCTGTAACCAAGCCTCCCCCCATCAAATACACTGCATTTGATCAATCGGACTGACCATCCTCTGGCCCAAGCAAAAACATCCATCACCAAGCTTCACTGTTCAGAACACGGGAAATCCCCATATACCGCTGTTTCTCAAGCTTCATAAGCCTCTTGCCTGTCCACTTCCCTAGTCTAGCTCACCCCAAGCTTCCCACCTCACCTTTTTGCGTGTTATTTCTGTCGCATCAACAGCCACGACGCGACTCACTTTATTCGCCCAACCTGCAATACATCTTTTTCATTCTACAAACAAACAATGTCGGGCTCAAATAGCTGGCTGCGGGCGCAACGAAAGAGTGACCTCGTCGAGGTTGCCGATAATGTCGGCCTCACAAAGTAAGTTGCTCGCGCTTTTTTCTCATCTCCTTCGTTCCTTCCATTGTTTTCTTTTTCGGCTTCGGGAAATCTTCGCACCGTGTTCGCAGTTTTTGGAATGATGATGATGACGCTATTGCGCGCCTGCCCCGCGATATGCGACGAGTGGTCTGGGACAGCTGGACGCTTCCTAGGTTGCGGTTGCCATGCTGTGTGGGCGCGTTCGCGTGCGACGGGCTCTGCGCTCCGGACCGATTTTCCTTGCGCGAGCGGATTCTTGTCGCGTCGCCCGTCGACCGACAACAACAGAATGGTTTGCTAACAAGCTCTCGCGCACAGCTACGAGGGTCTGAAGAAGGCCGAGCTCGAGATCGCGCTCGACCAATATCTCTCCCAGAACTCTTCTACCTTCTCTTCCGACCCCAGGGTCGCCGGCTTCTACAACAGCCAGGCTAAGACTCGCTCCTCGCCCATCAAGAAGGAGATTGTATCGGAGGAGCCGGAGAAGCCGCTCAGAGCGACGAAGCGCCGGGTTACCAAGGCTCCCGAGGACTTTTCTACCGAGTAAGTTTCCGAATCCCTTCCTTTTTGGGCTTGCGCCTCTGCGATATCATCCATCACGGAGGAAAATGAAGGAGAGACGCGTCTTCTAACTCTTCGCGCTCAGTGACGACTCGCGCGCCGTTGTCGCTACCTCCAACGCCGTCCTCCGCACCCCCCGCGTTGCCTCACTTGCGAGCCGCATCCCCCTCCCCGCCTCGCCCGCCGACGTTGCCCAGGCTGTCGACCGTAGCACCGTTGCTGTGCGCCAGCGCGTCGCTTCCATCTACCAGGACTCGGGCGTAAACGAAGCCGCCCACGCCACGCGCGAGTCGCTGTCTACCGTCACCTCCATTCTCTTCACCGTCGCCGCTTTTGAGTTGTACTTTTTGCGCCGCGAGGTTCTCGCCGACACCTACGCCTTCACGATCCCTGCCATGTCGTTCCTCGGAACCAATGATTACCCAGTGCACATACCCGACATGTTCTTGCTCTTGACCTCGTCCTTCTGGTCGCCCACGCTGCTCTGGCTCGCCACGAGCTTGGTCATCCCTGCCACTTTTGGTTACTTCTACAACTTGTCCGTCGCGAACCAGCCCGCTCCCGGACGCGGCAGGCGCCCCTCTGCTCCCACGCCGGATTACATTGTTGATCCCCTCACTTTTAGCATCGTGAAGGCGCTGGTGTCGTACGTCGTGTACGCGCAGGGCGTCACCTTTTATGGCCTCGTGGATGAGACGAGCATTGCGAGGATCAATGGCGCATTGTATGGTGGCTGGAAGGGCGTGCTCGTAGGGAGCGCCATTACGGGGCTTACGAGTCTGTATGATGCCATCCTGAGGAAATGAAGAGAGGATTGAGAATTATTGAGCCTCTTCTCTTCCCCTCACTTTCTCATGTTATTTCCACTCATTGTCCTCGTGGCAGAAATTCATACCCGGCTGCGAGCGCAGCAAAACTCGTTTACCGTGAACCGACCGTTTCTTAGTAAGGATGGGTCTGGTTCATTATTGTTTTGCCTTTGGCTTTTTTTTAATCATTGTTCCCGCTAGACGGTTTCGTTGGGTAGGATGATTTTTTGCTCTCTACTTTTTTTCTTTCCTTCACTTTCTTGATGTGAGCCGGCGTTTTCCTGGCGTTGAGGCGTCATGGCTGGTCCGGTCGATCCCTTTTTTTTTTGTTTTGAAAAAGACAAAAAAGAGGTGCGAGAAGAGGGATGGTATTTCTAAGCACGATTGCCGTGTTCCCAGGACGACCGGGAAGTTTCGATACCGTTTGGATGAGGAAAGCGAGGGTTTAGTTTTTTTTCTTAGTGCCTGTGTTTCTCTGCCTGAGTATTTTGATATCTACTTTTTTTTACCCTTGGACCCTTTGGCTCCTCTGTTTTTGGATCCTTTGGAGAACCCAAGCCTTCTCGGGTTGGTTTCTCCCAAGCTCTTTTCTCTTTTTATACGGTGGGGTTTGCTTTGGAGAATATCCAGGTGGGAGTGTGGTGGTTGGGTGGGTTCGGATGGGATGGATGGATGGGCTTGGGAGGACTCGGGGCTTGCTTTGGTTTGCTTTTCGCGCGTGTTTATATGAGTGACGATGGAATATATTTGCTTGTTCTACGATGTTGGTTCCTTGCTGTGATCTCTCTCGACGTATTTACGCATATGTGCTCGGTTGGGTTTCCTGGGAAATTTTGAATATGCCGAACTTGAGTCGCTATTGTGAGTGTACTTCCCTAAATATTCTTAGATCGAAGTATTGCCCGAGGTGATGTTCTCCCTGCCTTCGCCTTCTCCGTCGTCCAGCACAGCTCTCATCACTTCCCGACCTCGAGGCGGCGTCTTGTGTAAGCCGCCCCCGAATGTGTCACGTGAGTATTCCCAGTGCCACCACCGCCGCAGTCTATGTGGTCCGTGCTTAAGCCCTGTGGCTCAACTCTCCCCCACCTACCACCCACCAAGAACCTGACCAATGAGGAAACCGTCTGCGTCTCTGCATTCCTTGCACCGTGCCCACAAAGCAACTAATTCGCAAAGCCCACGGCGGGAAAATCATCCACACCACCCATTTTAACTTTTGCGGATACCCTCATCTTCTTCCCTTTCTCTTTTCTCTTTTTTTTTTTTTTCGTCATCTAGTTAGCGAGAGAAAATACCGACAAAATGGTACGTTTTTTCCTTTTCTTTCGCTCCTGCGATGGAATTACGCTCTACCGAATTGCGATATGAACGACTCGAGGCGTTGGGCATTTTCATAGCGAGCCGGAAAGTTGGGAAGAGAGAGGATAGGTTTTTACTGACGAGAATTTTTGGGGGAAATAGGTCAACATTCCCAAGACGAGGAACACTTTCTGCAAGGGCAAGGACTGCCGTAGGCATACCGCCCACAAGGTCACCCAGTACAAGACTGGCAAGGTATGTCTTTCGCGAAAACGAAGAGGCGTGTGAGCATGAGCTAACTTGGTTGATATAGGCCTCCCTTTTCGCGTATGTATTCCCTTGAAACCCCGTCGACCACTTTCCTTCCGAACGATCCCCGATGTCGATCTGCAGCGAATTCGAGGGGGGCATTCTCTTTCCCAACCCAAGCTAGCTGTCGCGAGACCGGAAACATTCGAACTTTTGAAAAGAAGGGCCAGAGACTAACGAGAATCCACGAACAACAGCCAGGGTAAGCGTCGATACGACCGTAAGCAGAGCGGTTATGGTGGTCAGACCAAGCCCGTTTTCCACAAGAAGGCGAAGACCACGAAGAAGGTTGTGTTGCGATTGGAGTGCGTGAAGTGCAAGACCAAGGCCCAGCTCGCCCTCAAGCGTTGCAAGCACTTCGAGCTCGGGTACGTTTCTTCCTTCTCACCCTTATTCATTTCCCACGGAAATTCTGCTCAGGATATTAACGACTTCTTCTGTGCAGGGGTGACAAGAAGACGAAGGGTGCCGCTCTTGTGTTCTAATTGCATTTTGTCAAACGGTTTCCTCCTATTACAATTGTCGTTATCTCTCTCTCTACTACTCATGGCATATGAATCAAACGGAACGGGGATTTCTGGCGAAACTTCGAAAGAAGACACACAAAAAAGTGGTAGAATTTGGTGCTGCCCTTCCTGGTTTTCTTTTCGGTAGGGTTGGGGTTGCGGAGCCATAGGGAAATGAATTTATAACCAAAGAAAAAAAGAGAGCCCTGTTGGCTGCAACCTTTTGAACGTTCAACTATTGTTTCTGGTGTATTTTTTGGGGAAATATTTTGTCTCGGATCGATGTTGCTCACATGCTAGGTTAATACCAACGACTTAGAAACCCTCGCCTGCCATGACCGTCCGACCACCGCCGTACCATACCGTCCCAGCCCTCATCTCGAGTCCCTTCTCCTGACCAACGACCCATTCGCCGATGAACTCGCTCCGACCACTCCAGACGTCTTCCTCGAGCCAACGGTTAACTTCGTTAACGACAGCTACCCACGCTTCGCGCTGTTCCTGCGTGCCGTGGTCATCACGCGTCAGGTAGCGTCCGAGCGTTATGTGTGCCGAGGGGAGTTGGTATCGCGGTTCTGGGGGTGTAGGAGAGAACTTCTTCACGAGGTTGTAGGCGTCCTGACGGAGGTGGTGGTAGGTGTACGCATCACCGCTTTCTTCGATATCTTCGAGGTTAGAGGGGCAAGACGGATCCGGAGAGGTACGTGGTTCGCCCGCCGCTGGAAGGAAAGTGAGGGCTATGCCGGTGGCATCATACGAGACGAGGGGCTTGACGAGGCGTGAGCGGTGGGAGTAGGTGTAGTTTACGAGGGTGGAGACGTGTGGGTGCAATGGGGCTAAGAGACGTGCTATTTCTTCCGGAGTTTTGGAAAAGGCTATTTCTACGACTGTGATGTGCATGCGTTGAAGTGGCATGAGCCAAAGGTCTTTTTTGTCCTTGAGTGTCAGCAGAGGTAAGGAAAAATGAAGCTGAGGGAGACTAACGCGGGGCAGCGAGCCTGAGCTTCGCCTGGATGGCAGAGGCGAGCTTAAGGACATGTTCTGGGGGACGACCCCATAGAACGAGGCTGTTTCGCGGATCGATGGCCTGACCCGAGGCGTCTTTGCCGGTTGGAGAGAACTCGGTGAGGGAGAGGAAGTGCTCCGGGGTTACGCCGGGGAAGGAGGGTGAGAGGAAGAGGAGGGATTGCTGTGAATGGCGGTTGACCCGGTGGGTGGAGTAGGCGTGTTGTATCTCGGCCTGTGAGGGTTTAGCTTTGGGAAGATTTCAGGTGGGTCCTTGAAAAGTCGGTGGTCTTACAGGAGAGTTGTTGCATTTGGAGATGAGGTCTGAGAAGGGGTCCGGCTCTGGGGAAGACGTTGTTTGAGGCATATCGTCGTCGACTGGAGACATGTCTTGCAAATGGCTTCCTCGACTCTACCCACAGAAGTACAATGGGATAATACACTGCTCTCTGTCAGAGCAGCCACTTGAGACTGTCGGATGAACTTCTTTTGAGATGAGTCCAAGGTGAACTCCTTGGATCAGCCCGAGGTCGTTCCTACCCAGTCTTGAGATGTTGGCCACGTGATGGAGATGACCAATCAGCCTGAATATCTCCAACGTCTTCTGGGCTCGTCTTCACTTCTTCATTCCATTCCTTGTCAACAACATCTCCTCAGGTCTGGGTGGGCTCCAGGGCCAAAACTGGCTGTCCAAGCTGGCAGTCAGTTAGGGGACTTCATCAGCCTCTTTTCATCATCCTTTGACACCTTAATGAGGTCTTTATCATCCAAGATCATCATTTCCACCTTTTCATCTCCTTCAACTTCAATGGGAAAGAGATCGTGGGCAAAAAGCCTGCTCCTTTGTTGATGGAAAACACAGCAGTTCGCGTTCGAACAGTGGGGCTCATCCTCCCCCATCGCATTCGACTTCGCGTTCGCGTCCTCCCATCTTTTTCCTCCATCTCCATCCACCCCAACCACAACCCACGTTCAGTAAGTCAATGGCTAGTCCTGAAACCATCAGATATCACTGAGACAAGATCAATTACACTAACAATGATGAAGATATAGAGAAGAGAATGTGATAGCCCTTGAGCTGCTGGCAGAGAGGGTTATCTGTCAACAGGTACAGAAACCTTTCCCTTCCTAGAAGGCGACCAGAGCTGTTGTCCACCTTGTCTCTAGAGAAGGCTTAAAGTCGAAGACGAGAAATCGACCGACGAGGAGCTCCGCCGATTCCAGTGGGAGGGAGGGAGGCGGGCGGGCGAAGTACATGCCTTCGTGCAGCTCCTGTCCGCCCCGGAATCGGCGGAGTAGCAGCTTCAAATCGACGTTGGTTTTTGAAATAAGAATGACTTCAAAACGACGTATCAATTGGGGGGCAATAAACATCTAAGTATGTATAACATCTCGTCCTTCTGTCCCATCTCTTATCACTTTTCTATCCCTCATTACCTTGATATTCTTACATGCCCTTCCTATCCGTACATACCCCCCCTTACCCATACATGACATTCTTATCCGCACATGACCTTCTTATCCTTACACATGCCCTTTCACTGCTCTCTGCTGTCCATACCCCCCAGTCCTAGAATGTACCCACCGAGATACTAATGTGGCCGTTCAAAAGATATTGTCAACATCTTTCGGATCAAATGACTTTCGAAGCAACATTGAGACCTCGTTGGCGGCCAGAACCGAACTCAACGTGCTTCTCACCACCTCGGAATCACCACCCTCGTCCTCTCCAGTCGTTCCGGGAGATCCTGCCTGGATCTCCATCTCCATCTCCCCCTCAGCCGGCTGCAGTGTCCTGCCCAAATGATGCTCCAACACGTCTACATCAAGGGTGTGGGTTGTAACCAGGTCGTAGATGAAGACGTCCTTCGTCTGTCCTGGCCTGTTGCAACGACCAATTGCCTGTTTCATGACCATCTCCCATTGCCGCTGGTCACGACTGAACAGCGGGCCGACAAACACGATATGGTTCGCATTTACCAAGTTGCTGCCAGCTGATTCCGGCGCGGACAGGAGCTGAAGAAGGACATCTCCCTTGCCCCTCTGGAACCGGCGAAGCTCCTCATCTGGCTGCGCCCGGTCCGTCCTCCCTACATCGAAACCCGCTGTGCGTAGAGCGGCATCAACGGGCCCCATCTGTTCCGGGTAGGGGACAAATACAAGAACCTTCTCGTTGGCGTTCTTGGCTGCCTGGACAATATCAACCGTCTTTTGCAGTTTACCGCCCATACCTAGCGAGCTCACCGGTGTGTCACCACGACTCGTCACGAATGCGTTGCCCGGCACAGCCTCTCCCGTCAAGATGCAGTTACATTCGTCTGCCCGGCACACGGGCAACTCGCAGCTACCGTCATCCTTGGGCGGTCCCACGTCCTTCATCTCCTCCGAGCATCGCTTGCAAAGTAAGTGCCCGCAACTGGTCAGGATAAGAGCATCCTCTGGTGCCTCGATCTGTGTCACCTTGCAAACGTTGCAGAAAAGACCAGGCGGCAGCATGCTGGCCTTTCTGCGAGATGCTTTGCCCTGCTTGGTGCATTTTGGGCAGGAATCGTTTTGGCCTGAGCACGAATGGCAAAGGAGATGTTGACAGTCACAATACTCCTGTGCCTTGTCATGGGCGACGTCGCACCTTCCACACTCATGGCACCATCGACCATCGAGGACTTGCTTGGCAAGCAGTGAAATAGAGTTGAGGAACCTATATCGACGGAACGCCTCTTGGATGAGGTTTCGAGCGGCCTCTTCGACGCTCAGAGAGGTCAAGATCAAGTCGTCTAGACCCTCTTCAAGTTGCGTGCCCCGCGTCACCTTTGTCTGTCCCACAATGGGGAAGCGACATGGCACAGCAGACCCGAACTCAAAGTCCTTGTCACTAGCATTTCCTCCCTCGAATCGACAGAGGCTCTTCCGAAGGTGTTCGACAATATCACTTTGAAGTGCCTTTAGTCCGATGTTCCGGTGTTTCATCCGCAAAACTTGCAACTCGGTTTCTTGCCCCTCAGTCATCGCACGCTCTTTCTCGTTCCCACTCTCATCCAGGCTCTTGGGACGGCTAAGGAATCCGCACTCCCTTTCAATCGAATCTTGATTGTATACAACCACCCTCTCAGCAATTGTCCGATCCACCAGACCCACCGCCTTTGCTCGGAGCTCATCCATTGATAGATCTTCCAACATCTGGGAGTCTTCTCCAAGAGCATGGAAGCAGTCGCGAATGATAAGGCACAGCTCATGCTTCGACAACGACTTTATCCTCGCGAAAGGGTCCGGATACCAGTCAACAAAGTAGCTAGTCCCAGCGCCGCCGTCCCGAGCCTGCCATGTCTCGGTACTCCAGTTTTGCGGATTATCATACATCGAATCATTCTCACGTGGTCCCAAGAGGATCTTCCGAACAATGCTGGCAATCTCTAGACCCCCAAACTCCTTGACGTCTCGTGAAGAACAATGGCGGATTATCCCCACGCGGTAGGTGTCCGCCTGGTTAAACTTCGTTGAGCGGGTGGCCGCCGTCGTGGCGGGATGGGAACCGGAACCTCCGCCGTTGAGCTCGGCATCGCCTCCGTTTGCATCACCTCTCTCGGCACCACCGTCCACAATCTCTTCCGCCGGCTCGGCGAACTGATGTGCGAGCCACATAAATCGGTCGAATTGAGACTTCAAAATCCGTCCCATCTTCACATATGACGTCTTCGCTTCATCCACAATCAGATGGAGAACATCTGAAACCGTCATGTTGCCAGTATTCCGGCCTTGCAGGAGATCGCATGTCTCGCCCATTGGGAGCGCCGAAAATACTAGGAGGGTCTTGACCGATGCGTCGTACCGTTCCTGCTGCGTGAGAGACTGGAAGGCATCCGTCTTCTTTTTCAAGTTCAGAATGGCCCGCACAGCGTTGCTGCTATCGCCCGACAAGCTTAGCACGTCCCAACGAGCATCATACAGACACTGTTGCAATCGGAAGTAGTTGGCCTTCGACGTGGTTTCGCTCGGAACAAAGACGACCTTGCGAATGACTTTGTAACAGTCGCTCACAACAGCCGAATTCTGCCGCATGTACATCGATACAAACTTCTCTCCTTGCAGATGCCGCTCATGCGCGAACGCCTCCGACTTCAACTGCCGGAGTGCTCGATACTGCTCAGACGCAGACATGTCCGTGGGCGACGGGCCCTCGGTGATGGGTCCCAGGTACAGGGGCAGAGCCGGCTCCTCTCGTGCAACGTGGACGTTGATCATGGACGCCACGTCGCAAATCTTCGCTAGGCACGACATCGGGGGCGTACCAGACAGAAGCCACTTGGAGCACGCCACACTCTGGATGATGAACGCCGTAGCCAACACGTCGGAGTACGAGAACTCATCATAGATGATCCTGTCCCAGCTGTAAAACTCGAAAAGGGTCGCGCCCTTGTGCGCATACGCTGCCTGTTCTAACACCTTCTCGCGACTCGACTGCGACAGGTCGCGAATGTCGGGCAGCTTGCTCGCATTGCGGGACTTGCGGGACTGTCCGTTGCTGTCTGTGGAAGCATCCGTCGTCGACACTACGCCGCCCTTTCGACGCTTGCTCGGCGGCACGTGGTTCTTGCAGGCATCATTAAGAATTTCCTGGTTCGCCGCAACTGCTTTCAACGCTTCCTCGGCAACGTTGAAATCTTCACCACCGTTGACATGGCGTCGGTAGAGATCGCGGAGCTTATCGCAGCCTGGGAAATAAAACTCTTCAAAGTTTCTCTTGGTGTCGGGTCCGGCCATTTTAACCTGGCCAGACGCCGCGGCGAAGGTGTCTCGCGCCGAAGCCGTAAGCCGCGCGGTGGTATGCGATATCAAGACGATGTCGGCCTCTTCGAGCTTTTCTCGACTGATCTTTTTCGCCCTCGTTTTGAAGACGACCACATTCTACGTCTGGTCGCTTTGCTGAAGGAATCGCCTAATCTCAGACTCCCACTGGCCGATAATGTGATTGGGGACGACGATTAGCGTCGCTTTGAGATGCACGAGTCTGTCTCCCATCCAGCCGCGTCGCTCTTGGATGGACTCGTTGACAAGACGACGTTGTACATCGATCAAAGCTAGCGAAATAACCGTCTTTCCGTACCCGACTTGATGAGCCAAAACGCCACCCTTGGACTTATTCGGTGTCTTCGCGCGTCCGACCAGGCGGAGACCCACCGACTGCTCGATGTATTCCTCGACTTCTGTCTCCATGTACTCGTCAGGGGAATCCTCGCGTTTAATCATCCACCCAAGTGCCAGTTTCTGATCTGGTCGGAGACTCAGGTCTTCTGGGAAAGATGGGGGAGGAGGCGGAGACTTGTTGATATCGGTGTCGACGACAGGCCGAAGCTTCGTCTCGAACGGAGTAAAAGCTTTGGGCGTGTCATGGAAGTTGTGCACGAGTTCAGCAGTGCCTTGAGTCTGGCTCAAATCCCTCCGTACGCCCTTCTGAACACCTTCTCGGGGAAGATAACCGGCGGCGCGGTGAATCAAAGTCCCCAGATCTACTTTGATGTCAACCTCGAGGGTCGAGGCCTCGGAAGCACTGACCGAAATGGATACGGTAGTTGGTCGGTCATTGATGCGGTTCTCAAATTGCTCACAATGTTTTGCATCTGAAATAATCTCAACGACTTTGTCTTGCACGTTCCTGATTCGGTGGACAGCCGGCGTGACTGGAACACAATCACCACAGAGATCCGTGCCGAGGAGAACAGACCCCGGATGACCGCCCCCCTGAGGAAGACAGATTAGAGCAAATCTAATCGTTCGAAGTAAAGCATCTCTGTCGCGCTGTCGAACGGGGCAAGGGCTCGAAGAGTCGACGAACATGCCTTCGCCGTTACCGGAACTATCCCGCCACAAAGCGGCATAGAATGAATTCGGGAACGGGAAGTCTGCCAGAGGGATCTTGAGATGCACCCATGTCTCCGCTTTATTACACTGATGATCCTTAACGTGTTGCCACATGCCGTCGCCGACGTGGACCTCGGGGAGTTTTGCGATCGAGTTGATTGATGTTGGCAAGGCTCTGGCCAGATCCTTAGATGCAGCAACACTAGCCCAGTATCCTGGGTACTCGCACCTCAGGCCACTATGCGGACGATTTTCTCCAATCACCTGCGGAATGGTGGCTGGATTAATCATACGTTCCCATTTTGATCGACAAGGACGATACTCTTTATCGAAATAGAGAAGGACGTCGCGGTTCTCAAAGTCATGCAGCATCCGATTCGTCTTCGCAATGACCCATCGATCGTTGAGGCCGTGGCATTCCTTATCGGGATCAAGGAAGTGGTAGAGCCCGCTCCTCTTCTGAACATACAGAAGAGAATGGGACGTCCCGCAGTGCTCGGTGAGCGTGTACGCGTCACCGAGAAGCTGAACCACATTGTCGAAAGCCTGGCCTTGTGAAACCACGTTGCCGGCGTGGTCAGCCATTGACACGAGATCGTACTTAATGCCGTCAAGGCGCTCAATACCCGGGTGAACATTGACGATGACCGTGTGTTTGTCGTCGACCCAGAGACGCCAATCCTCCTCACGGGGAATGACCATCGAATCGGGGTTCTTGAGGACAGCCCTCATTACGTTGTACTCGGGATCCTGAAGGTACCCGAGTTTCTTGGAGATGATGCAACCTTCAACATCCAGATACACATTCCACGTAAGCGAGTCCTCGTCGATTGAGATGTCGACGTGAGAGCGAGCAGAATGGTATCGAGCGGTCAAAACTTGCCCGACGTGGAATTCCTTGAAGTAATATGTCGTGTTCGCACAGCAGACATCGAAGGCTTCTTTGGCGCGATCGGAGAGATACACGTCGCCGAAATCTTCGAGTGCAGGAACTCGAATACCGACTCCGCCCCGCGACGTCAAGGTGAAAGTAGGCGGGAAGTATTTCGTGACGCGCGACAACGTCTCCGCCTCGCTGAACAATTTAAAATTGATCGGAAAATCCACAAAGTTGTGCAAGGGATTTCCCAAGCACTTGCTGCATCGGAACTGTTTGCAGTCTTGACAGAATTTGAGGCCACGCGCGCGGTTCCGAATGCTCAAACCGTCGCAGGGACAATAAGAACGACATACCCTGTGGAGCAGGAACAAATGGCTCAATTTGATGTTGTTCAGGACAGACGAATCCCAGTTTTCGTACATCTCTTTAGTAACGTTCTTGATCACTGCACTGGGTCGCGCGGTGCCCTCTTCCTTCACGGTGCCCTCTTCGTCCACGGTGCCCTCGTCGTCCACGGTGCCCTCTTTGCGCAGGGTGCCCTCTTTGCGCAGGGTTTCCGAGAAGCTGTTCGCCTTCTCCTGGAGACCATAATCCGTACCGATGCAAGCGTTGTGCTCCGCGAGAAGTAACGCCAGGATAACACAGCCAACGACAGATGTCGTCATGGCATTTCCTGCGAGGTCACGCCAGTCCTTATCGCACTCGGTCGACGGCACGAGTTTGTCCGACTCGATGCCCTGAAGGCGGAGTGCCTCCAATCCGACGAGCATCCGACCCTGGCTGGTGATGAAAGGCAGGCCGTTGGGAGTGAGACAGGGAGATTGTCCTACTTGACCAGGGCTGCGATCGACGTTCTGCGACAAGTCGATAATATGATTCTTGAAACGGAAATCAAAATTATGAGCGATGTCGATCATCATTCGCAGTTGGACAATGTCCAAAAGGTCACAAACCCTCGGTCCCTGGCGTTGAATCAGCGTTTTGTGCGACAAATCGTACGGTTTGCATGCTCCACGCGCATCGAGGCGTGTATACTGGTGGACGTCACGAGGAAGACCGTATTGCTTGCGGGCGTGATTGTGTCTCATCTGGCACATGGTTGCCTTAACGGTCGGCTCTCTGCTGGCTCCTCGTTCAATCGGGATGAGGTTCTCGCGAACGGTCCGATCGCCATATCGAAGAAGAAGATTGCGCAGCGGGATGCGAGCAGTCGATTCAGCTTGGCCGATGAGGGTCTCCCAGGTTTCGCAGATTTTCGACGCACGTTCTTCGCCGTAATGGCGTTTGTCCACGGCGACCAGATAGCCTCTTTGGCGTGTATGCGGCACGCCATAGTTCGCGGAATCGAGCTTGACGTGCATCGCCGAATAACCAATCATGGGAAACCACACATTAACAATGTCATGCCAAGGGGATTGATTAACATTCTCCATGACGGCCAGCTTGGGCCGGGCCTTGTTCACGTACGCTAGCGATGCAAGGAAAGTCGTGGCGGATTCGCCAGTCGCATCCTTGGCCTCGTTCATAAACGCCTCGAAATCGATTCCATCGTCGTCGAGCCTGGTGTTGTATCGGGCCGTCAAAGCGCCTAAGTCCTTGTTCTTCTTGGAATTGAGAGAAGAAAAGTCCACACAGGACGATCCGACGACGACGACATCTACCTTGGTGGGCACGTCGGCCGGGAAACCGGCGGCAGTGGTGGCCTTGTCGTTTCCGGCGAACTCGACGACGTCGCGGAAGATGTGGCCCTTAGGCTTGATGTTTCGTCGGATGAAGGCCTGCTTGATGGGTTCGATCTCAACGCTGAAGAGGTGCTTGTGTGAAAGGGACTTGTTGTGGCCGAGGGCGTATCCGGCCTCTTGGAAGAGTTTGAGGGCGATGATGGGAGCGTCGGTGCCGGAGCACAGGGTGCCAATGGTGAAGTGACGCCCGCCGGTCGCGAGGATGTCCTTGAATCCGAGATCCAACAATCCATTGAAAAGAAAGACGAATAGCTCGGGGATGGAAGTGGCGATTTTCAAGTGTTTGTCTTCGGATTCTTTGGGCTCTTGCTCGTTCGCCTGCGCTTCTTCGTCACCGTCGGCGTCGTCGTCGGCGTCCTTTGCCTTTTTGGCCTTTCCTCGCTTGGTCGCTGCCTTGGAAGTCTTCGCCCTCTTGGCCGCCGGCTTTCCGGTTGTTGTTGCCTTTGCAGGCCTCTTAGCCGTCGACCTCGCAGGCCTCTTCGCCGCCGCTGTCTTCGCAGGCTTCTTGGCCGCGACCGTCGTCTTCCTCTGCCTCTTCTTCGTGGAGGGTTGAGCACCGTTACCAGCATCAGCGGTAGCCGCAGGTTGGGGGTTGGGCGGATCGACATCCATCGCGTCGCCGTCACCGAGAACCTGAGAAGCGGTAGTTGTGTTGTCGACCGCAGTGGGAGCGGATGGTTGCGGCGTGTTGGCAGGGTGGGGAGGAGGGGAACAGGGGAGGGGGAGGAAGAACGAAGAGGAAGGAGGAGGGACGTTGTTGGAAGGGGTGGATGGGATGGTGTGAGGATTGGTGGGGGGGGTGGGAATAGCTGGAGTGGTGATGGGCTGGGGAGTAGGGGGAGGCTCGTGTGCTGCGGGATAGGCCTGAAGGCGACCGGAGCTGAGCAGTTGGGGGGTAAGGTTGTCGTAGGATGCAACGCCCATCAATCCCAAATAGTCAAAGTCAATTGGATATTCATCTGGGGACTGGCTTGCACCAGAATCCACACCAGGAACGACAGGATGATCGTTCGGCGGCTGGTCAATGGCAGGAGGGATACCTGTGGCTAGACCGTGACCCACTGCAGAATGCTGCCAGTCAGCGAATCTGGGGGTGCCACTGTTGCTCGCGCTCGGCATTGCATTCTGAGTGGGATGCTGGGGGTGGGCGTGGTTCTGACGTCGTTGAGAAATGACCCGAGGCTGTTCGTCATAAAGTTCTCCATCGGGAATCGTATCGAAGGTCTCGCGGTTGGAAATTCCCGAAGGAGCACTACGACCAGGACAGTTCTGGCCCGTGTCCTCGAAAGGCGAGCCTTCGCCCGACATCTTGAGAAGAGATTCCTAACGAGTCGGGAGTTGGCTTGGGATGAGCCCAGAGGGCGGAAATGGCAGGAATGCTGTTCTTTTTCCTGTCGATTCTTCTTTTTCGTTAGTACTACTAACCACAAAAGAAAGTTGAACCTGTCTGAGGCAGGGGTCTCAAATGAGGGCCCGATGCCACATCCAAGCGACTTGCGTCCAGGAGCGTATGCTCGATGAAGCGGAACGGCTGCTCGACAGGGGGGAAACGATGCAAGGACGAAAGAAAGAATGAAACAATAATACCATACCTGAGACAGGGTAAACTGAGTTTGCTGGTGCGAACCAGAAGATGTTGGATGATGAAGTTCGATGAAGTACGATGAAGTACGATGAAGGGTGATGAAGGCGGAATGAAGTTGGTTTGATTTGGGGGGAAAGAGGAAGAAGTTTTCGTGAAGTGGTGGTGGCCTCGAGGGGACTTTATGTGTGTCCAGAAGTGACGCGTCAGGGTTACTGATTCTACGGCACGCGCAAGAAACAAACACGTTACCGGAGCTGAGACTTCCCTTTACGAAAATCTAAAGGGTTTTCTATTCTGATTATTGAAGGGAACTCGTGCTGAAACGCCGAGTCATTCGAGGAGGGAGGAATGGACTGGAGGATCCTATGGGCTTTGTTGGGCTCCTTCCCGTCAGGGGACATCATGAGGAATCGTGGAGGGGGAACTCTGAGCGCGGGGGGTGGGTGAAGGACGGGGATGGCCTCTTTCTCATCTGTGAGGCGCAAGAGGGGGTTCAGTTGGAGACGAAGATGCAAGAGCTGGACTGTGGTCGTGGTTGTGGTCACTTTGGACTTACAGCTTATCAGGCCGGTGAAGACTTGCTGTCTTGTCTGAAATGGCAGCAGCAGGGATTCACCAAAGTCCAGCTAACATGAGGCTACAGTTGTGCTTTCTCAGATATCATTCAGATTGTCCTTCACTTGAGAAGCTAGCTTTGCTTTGGAGAGAGGTGGAAAGGAGCCAGCAAGAGGGAACAGGGTCTGTCGTTGTCTGAAGGACTTGGACGGCTGTGAACTCTGGTAGCAGCTTTTGAGAGCATTATTATTACAGGTGAGTTGACTCTTTATGTCCTCTGCTTCTGCTTTATTATTACTAAATTGACATCCTTTTTTGTTCATTTGTTTCTTGTCTTTGCTTGTGCTTTTTCACTTTGTGGTAAGGCTTCGAGTTGGGAATGGGCGAGAAACATGTTTTGGACTTACAGTTTCTGTGGGATACTAGTCATGGCCGAAACAGTCATAGATAACTTTGCCTTGACATGTCCTTTAGCAGAATTGGGCACAGAAGTTTGTTAGAGTCTGTCTCGGCGGGATATGGCCACGGACAAGATAGGACTGGAGCTACCGCTTCACTTTGGACGGAGAGGGAGGTTACACTACATTAAATGGGGTCGTTTACGATATCATAATACGTGTGTAACGAGTCAAGTTCACCAGTTCACCACGTTGGATTAAATACAGAGACTGGGTCCCCTTGTAGTGGCGGAGAAGGGTCGTTTGTTATTATCGGTGATTCTTGTAGTCTGGATTGCCTAGTACAATTGTCCATGATAGACAACCATCTATCAGTCCTGAATCTTCATCACTTCCTCCGTGGCGAAAGCGAAATGATTGTCTCCAACGATTATCTCCACCATGGCATTGTGTCCATAGGCGATGGGACGACTTCGCTTATAGGGAGGACGGGTCGAAATAGATGTAGTCTTTGGGCCTTCGAATCTAAGCTGTATTATTTCCTGGAGTTGTATGTCAGGAAAATGTTTAGAGTCACTCAAGGAGCCCAGTGTCTACTTCTCTGCCACCTCCCGGCCTTCAACATATCATCAGCCTATCCCCTCCCTCAAACTTCGTAGGGGGTCGTAAAACACCATAATGAGAAGCAACTACCTTCTGGGTTTCCTCAAAGGCTTCGCGCAGAACTGTGCCAACACAGACCGGGGAAGTGGGTGTTGGTCCGTTCAACGTAAAATACGACGATGAAGGAAACTTCTAATTGCCAGGAGAGGAAGCTAGCTGACCATTCGACTCTCCGGAGCCGCTTGGCAAAGTACGGAAATAGCTCGAGTGAGCCCGCTTCGGGAATTAGAATTTACAAGCAGGGGCGGCTGGACGTCCAGCCGCCCCTGATCCCTGAAGCCTTGCATAGCAAGCCCAGCATGAGGGGGGGGGAACAGGATTCCAATTTCCATTTAAAGATTAGTGTCTCGGTGTCTTTTAAAGCTGTCCTAACTTTAATATTGCTTTTTCTATCTTGTTCTCTTCTCTCTTGTCTTCTTCTTTTGTTTCTTGGATTTCGTTTTCTTCTCTTTTGTTCTTCTTCTTCGTTTTTATTTCCTTTTTTGGTCTTTGAATTGTGTTCTTTTCCATTTTCTTATTATTTAGAGCCCAGCCCACCCGATTCTAATATCAAGAAAGATGTGTTCCCCGAGATAAATACCTGAGGATACCTTTGTCACGCAGGGAGTTTTTCAACTCCAAAGGCTTCTTATCTTCCCAGCCGAGCGAGCGAGCGATCCGTAAGCCTGAGGAAGTTCAGATACCATGCCTAATTCGTTCCACTTTGTGACTTCTTCAACACCACGAGCAAGACGCATACCAGATGAGGAGTGGGAGGACCATCGTCTGGAAATATGCGAGCTATACTCAAAACTGACACTCGACGAAGTCATCAACACGATGAGCAACAAACACGGGTTTAAAGCAAAGTACATTCCTCCCTGCCCATGTCAAACACCCCCCAGGGATCCAGCAAGCTAATTTGAGGCGGGGCAGTAAAAAGCAGTATGTCTATCGCCTAGGAAAATGGGGAATAGTAAAGAATGGTTCGGTTCAGGCTATGCAGACTACGGAGTCAGCGTTCGATATTGTCGAACATCAGGTTCTGAAGCAGGTCCGAACCAGCTTGGATGCTGTTCGTGGTGGTGCATCCATCCCGGTTAAGCGAGAATTATCTAGTTGCGAGAGTGCTTCCGGTTCTGCATCGCGCGCCATCCGCCCATGCACAAAGAGGACAAAGCTAGGAGCAATGCCTGGCAAAGATTATCCGCCGGCTAGCAACGACACCGCAGTCGCTACCCCTGAGTTGTGTTCCATCACCCTTTCATCTACCTCGGTCCCCAGTCCGCCGCCGGAGTCAGTCCATCTCCCTGACCTACTTATGTCTCGTGAGAAAATCGTGGATGGGTTTCCCCGAATTACAGGGCAGGCAAAGGAAACAGAAGTAACCTCCGCAGATACACCAACAGCTCGGCCCACAGGGAATTGGTTGGGAAAGGCGGCTGTATCACGGGGATTTCCAGGAGACGAGATATTGGCTGGGCTTTCGACACGATTCACCGGCTCAGAATTAGGAGAGTGCTGTTCAACACTTGACGAAGACATCGTTCTTCTGGGCAGACCTCGCCAAACAATCGCCTGTGACCAGCCGCTCGATACTTTGTCCGCGGGCGAAATTGCGATTCTGAAACGTGCAGCTGATTATCTCGCCGTGATTCATCATAAGTCGGAAGCATTCGATCTCTATAGACTGGTGCTGGAGTGGCATCAGTCCCGATCTGATCCGCCGGATCCGGATCGGGATGTCAGCCACTACCATCTTTTAACCCAGTTAGCACACATGGCACACCTCCCAGATCACTTTGCCATTGTCCGACCTATTCTCCTTGGGGAGCTACATAAGTACCAGGAATTGCCAGTTACCGATCAACAATCTTCCATCTACCGATTTATCCTCGGTAAGTTTCTCGCTTTACTGTCGAAGAAACAATCGGGGGTCAATAATGAGAGATGTCGCCGTGCGCAAACCCTAGAGCAGCAAATGGCGACGCAGTCTTCCATGACCCACGACGATCGAGAAAGCCTTCCCCAGTTGTTGGAAGTGGTCTTGCCGAAGGAGGATAGGTCGTTGGACCTTATTTACTTCTTCAACGTCATCTTGGCATACCCCACCTCTTCATCTGACATGGTTTCCGCTGTGAATGACGTGTCCGCTCCCCTCGAATTGCCCTTGACTATCCCGGGGAACACTGACACACTTGAGGATCTTGTGCTAACACATGTACCTGGTCCGTTTGAGCTTGAAATCGGAGGTCGTAGCAGTAAAATGCTCAACCCGTGCGTCCGCTCCTGCATAGATTGGTGTGAGAAGCAGCTCAGCCGGATTTACCATGAACCCTTCAAAGCCAATGTCAAACCTCTCAAAGCTAACGCCACGCTACTCGAAAGGTTGAGTGGTAGAGCTGATGCGGCTGTCCCAGGCTTTACAGACTTTGGAGTCCTTTGGGAACTTTGGAATACGTCAGGAACGCGAGAGGAGGTATGGATGACGCAGGCTGAGAAGCGAATGGGCATCACGTCTACTGAACTTCTCTTCCTAATCTGCATGACCATGAGGGAGTTGCGCAAGAAATCATCCGCAACTCAAGCAGACGTAGCGCGAATATTGCAGGCTACATCGGATGAGTTAATCGCACGACACGTTTTCAGACAATACTTGAACAGAACCATGTTGGTTACACGGCCAGGAGAGTTGGCCACGCCTAGAGAGGCAGACTTTCTCCGTATGGAGTTTGTGCTTGGAGTTAAGCTCTCCGGGTTGTCCGTCACTAGGTCTCGCATTCCCGTTGTCCCCACGGCCTCCTTAGCACCTATCGCCCGCTCAACCTTGGAAACGGTTGCTTTGTTGAGCTCACTCGGTTCGTCCGCCCCTTCCCTCGCAAGTTTCAAAATGGCCGGCGAGGCTATGAACCGACAACTTCGTCGCTCGGGCCAATTTTCAGCGCCGTCGGTAAATGCAGCCATGGCTTCAGCAAGTGGCGAATTTCCGATTCCCAGTATTAGCGAGCTCAGCGACCTTTTTGGCGAGATGATGAGTCGGAGCACTTAGACGGATGAAGGAACCAGGATATAACGTCGGGGGTTAAACTTGGAATCTGCCCTTGAGAGGAACTTCCACTCGGAGACTGGAGTTTGTTCATTGCTATTCTTTTTGAGGTGATGGGGTGTTACGAGGCAATCATGGGTTAGCTACCTCTGCAGCCGACAACGTGTCAGACTTATTACGCGGCAGACCTGGATTCCTTTGCTTGTGTTTACCACTGATATAAGTAATGTTAGTGTGTTGTAGACTTCTTCAGAGACGGATAGGTTGGTTTGCAAATTCCCACGCAGCATGAATACTCGAATCTCGTCTCGTATCAGTTGATCAATTTGACCGTGGATCTATTTAGTACTTTTTTGTTAGGGGATGGGCTCGACCCTCTCGGAATGCTTGTGTTTCTCGGCCGTAGGATTGAATAGTCCTGTTTGTTCAGGTTGGGGGCTGACCTTCTCGTCGCCATCGTCGCCGTCGTCGCGTCTATCATGCCGCTGGCGTCCATCGTTGCAGCGCCTCAGGTTTTGCTCTCGTCTTTGATGGAAATAAGTGGAAACAAAGTAGAACCTCTGGAAATGGTACTTGCCTGTAACGGGAAAACGCGTCAGGCTTGGCCGTAGGGGATACCAAAAAAATACGGCTGACTATTTTTATTGTCCTCTCCCGCTTTCGGTTTTTCGTTTTTTACCTGGCGTATTTGCCTGCGATGCGGGGGCGTGGGTAGTTCCTTCCCTCCTCATCCTCGGGTTCTTGGGAGATGGACGCTGCTCCTCCTCCTACGAAGCAAGAGAGTGGCCGCCAGCCCATGGGCCGTGGTGAGTTGATCCCCGGCACCTGGCTTTATGGTCCAGACGCTGACGGATGAGTGTTCAAGGTTCAAGGCTCTGCTGCCGTCGTTGCCTCACGATTCGCGCTCTCTCGCGTGATATATATCAACGCAGATCGCCGTACGGGTCTTGCCTTTCGATTCTGTCAAGTATGCCTGGTACATCGCGAGGTCTTGCCGCCGAAAACTCTGGCTGTAGCTCACCTCTCCAACCACAGCGGGAAGAGGGACTTCTATTCCTCCAAAGGACAGGCAGCGAGGTCTTCTTCGGTAGGTCGTTCGTCCGTCACCTTTGTCTGGTGCTGGAACTTCTTTATAGGCAATCTCTGATGTCTCGTGAGTTTATATCCTGGCGCGTTGCTCGGTCATGTCCGCTTTTGAGACAGCGGGGCCGGGTCAATGGCTTGTCTCGTACGAAGAGGAAAGGGCGCAACTTGAGGACGGAGTGCTAGCGCCGCCGCTGTGAGGTTTGCCCCTGTGAGGTTTATATTGTTCGGGCCACCTTCCCCTCTTGGCTGGTTCAGTCTCGTCGTGTATACCACCCTCGTCCATGCATCGATTCGTTTTTTTCGACGTACAGCGGAAGTTACGTTTAATCACCGGAGGCAATCACGGTCATGAGATGAGCAGAGGCTTGCTTCTATTTTCGGCGAAGCAAAAAATCAAGGGACAATGCCAGATGTTGAATGCACAGAAAACACCTTCCTGCGGGTGATCGAGCCGCCTGTCCACGGGGCGCTGTTGGCCATGGTCTGACAGGATACCAGAGCTGTTCCACGCGGACAGCTGGGGGGATGCTGCGGGGACCCTCGGCCCTGGAGTATCGACCGGGGCAAGGGGAAGAGATGCACTCAACCTTGGAGGATAGGCTCCCTCTCTGTAGCGGCGAAAGGAGATCCCAACGATAACGGAATTGACCATTGGTGAGCTTAGCGAATAACGACTTCCCAAAACGATCGTTGGTGCAATAGATAGGAGGTGTGATTGTTTTTCTGGGGTACATCAGGACCTGGAGTTTCTGATCAGCGATCCATGGACCAGGGTTTCTTTGTTATGATCAGGGATTTGGAGAGCAGGCTGCAGCTGAATTTGGATTCAGGTGTGGCTGAGTCGAACAAATGTTGGGCAGGGCTGCCACGCCTAGCTAGAAACACGAATGATGAAGACAGAAATCTCCTAACAAAAACCTGAGAAGCCAAATCCAGGAAACGAGAGATCCGAAAGCCCAGAGCCGCGGCAACATGGCGAATCCGGAAGATCTCGTCGCCGTTGTGGAACAACTCGTCCAACGAGTCGCCTCTCTGACCGACAAACTTGGGGAAACAAACAAGCAGCTACAGAGCCTCGCAGAAGGCTCCGGCTCATCGAGGAGTGCACCGACGGAACCTTACGCGATCCCGAAAGGCTTCTTCATCGAGTCAGACGTACGTCTGCGGAGAATTGTGACTACGCAACACGACGTAGATGTGGTTCGTAAACGTCTCGAACTTCATGGGTCCCTGCGCTGCAAAGTGATCACCATCCTCGACGCGCCAGTCTTGGTCCTTGACCACTTCGGTTCTAGGATCCAATTTCCATATCCGCGTGGCCAGATACCGCTGCGCGGCACTGCTGTCCCCGAATTTTCAAAAGACCAGCTAAGATCTCTTCTTGAAGAGGAGCTTGCCCAATGGCCCTGGCAGCATGCGGCTGACTATTTCCTGCCGAGGGCGCAAAGAAAAACGCGCTTGTTGGTGGATAGGAGCCCCAGCTCCCATCCACTCCTCAAGAAGCAATCTCACTGGTTTACTCAGAATTCGCAGGGGGTAATTCGTCGGCGAGGGCGTGAAGAACTGTCCTCCAGCGTCTCTTCCAGAGGATCATTGCAACCATCTCCGTCTAGGGATTTCCAGTACGGTTAAACCTTTCCCCGGACTCATCTCCAAAGACGTTTTCTTTTAACGATGACTAGTGTCTTCGGAATTTATGCTGGCATTATACCATTCAACGACTTTCCAAGTCTCTCGGCCCTTGTCACCCTCCCCGAAGTCACGGTCGAATCCAGGGGGATTTCCCGGGCACACCCATTTCTGGAACAATTCTTGGATTTGTCATTGGCCAAGCTTTGGTATCAATCATACAGGCACCCGGACGGTATAGGGAACGTCTTTGTGTTGGACCACCATTCTCGCTGCTTCCAGGTTGCGTTCTATGAACCTGAGACCTGGGAAGACTTAAACCTGGCCGAATTGCGCCAGCTCCGCGGATTCTTGTTGAATCGCAGGTATGGGTGTTTCCCTGGTAGACCTTGGTTCAAAGAATCCTTCGTGTCCGTCCAGTGCAAATTTTCGAGGGTATTCGGCCAACCAAATATCCTTCCAGACTTCAGGATCGTCGTCCTGACGGAAAACCACCTTGTTATAGACACCGAACACCTACAAGAGCCCAAGGACGGCCCGGTAGTCGTCAAAGGGTTCGCGGCGGGTATTCACCTGTTCCAACTTGTCGTCTACAAGTCGATAGAGCATTGGTTTGAGGGATGGGAAGGCTGCTTATGGTGGCTGGACAAAGAATGCGGCATCAAGGTGAGTCTGAGCCCTCCTGTTCATGTCGTTGGCTGCGGTGACCTGGATTTTCTCTCTCTCCCCCCCCCCCCCCCCCCCCCCCCGGTCCTGATAGATTTTACCTTCGAACCTGACGACATAATTCAGGTCAAGGATACATTGGACGAGGGCAAGATGGAGGGTTTAATGTTCGACCAGTCATTCCAGCTATCAAAGAAATATTTTCTTAGCCTCCAGAACCTTCGCATCTTCCGGGGAGAGGTCCCGAATCAGCGAAAATCAATCGAAGCTATGGCCAAGGATTTCTCAGACGATATTTGGATTAGAGATAAGTTGCTAGGTCTTCCAGAGATGAGCCTCGAGCATCCGTTCCTGGCCGAGGAAATCCGTACCTTGCAAGCGAACATGAATGTCATTGTGGCCTATCACGGCGAATTAGAGAGGAAGCTTCTGGAGAGAATTGCCGCCAAGGCCGAAGAGATCGAGGGACTCCGCGATGCGGTCAGTGAAACGAGACAATTTACCCTGTGTTTCCATTCCCGGGCATCTTGAACAGGACAGGACTGACTTCGGTCTCCAGCTCTTCAATGCCACAGCGCTCCGTGAAGCCTCCGAATCCTCGAAAATGGGCCGATACATATTCGCCTTTACCGTCGCCACTATCATCTACCTCCCTCCCAGCTTTATTGCCGTAAGTTCCTTTTTTGTCCCCCCCCTTCACGTCGGTTCTCGAGAGAGAAAAGCAGGCCCTAACAGTTTGGTAACGTTTGTTAAAAGACGGTGTTCGGGACCGACCTGTTTCATGAAGAGGTTGTCGGAGACACCATCGCCAAGTTTAGGAACGCAACCATCACCTTGTCTCTTGGCACCTATGTCATTGCCTTTCTCGCCCTCTGGGGTGTTTATAAGATGCACGCCGTGGAACCCTTTCTTAAACGGAGAAGAGATCTCTTGGTAGGTAAGGCGCAGCGCTGGAAGAGACGAGCTGCCGATTTATTTTACCGCGGAGGGAGAAAGGACAATGGAAGTTTCCTAGATGTATGAGTCGCATTAAGCGGCCGACGGGTTCGGTACGAGAGCGTCCATGCGGCTCTGGAGAAATTATCTGACGCTTGGTTCGTCGCTGTCATTTAACACCACAGACCAAGCCATTGGAGGCCTAGTCGAGAGGCTTTCCCAGCGAGAATCACATCTCTTTTCAAGATCGTTAGTGTGATTCAATGCGGACAAACACCACCTCGCCACGAAGCGTAAAGACTACGAATGTCCGTCTTCTAATACCAGCGTTAACCAAGTTATAAAGGCCCTCACTGTCTGTCCTAGGCCATACATTTCCAAATCTACCGGGTGAATTTCTTTCTCGCCTACGAACCTCTTCGCCGAGAGGGTTTTGGAGATATAAAGTACGCCGGAGTGCCATTTGGTACGGATCACGCTGAGGGCGCCTTTACCCCTAAGCCGCTGTCACCTGTCGACGTTTAGCTCCAAGAAATACCTGGGCCCGATCCGGACAAATACGAGGGTTATACTGGTCGAGATTTGGAAAAAAAACTGCAGTGAGTTGAGTAATGCCGGCGTGGCGAACGGTAGGTGGCTTTGCCTGGATCACCATCCTTTGTCCTCTGGCGATGTAGGAACCGGGAGAATCGAGTAGCCAAGTGCCGGCCACCGAAGGGTATCGCGTGTTTGTTGCCAAATGAAACACGGGAGCCTTGAGCAGTCCAAGAAAGGAATGAAGGAAGAACGTCAAGTTGGCTCCCAAGTGGCTTGACTGGGCTGCCTCTCCCTTCCAGCAGATTGAAGGCTGAGGCTAATGTCTGGGTTCTCACAAATGAGCTTGGCGCTTCCACACTTTTCCTCAGTGAGAGGAGAGTCTCGAAAGGGATAGATCCACCATAGGCATCTTGTCGTGATGGAACCACTTCCCGTGATGGCGCCTGTGAAGGAGCTCTGATTGTCGCAGGGATTTCAGTCTGAGCCGTCAGCACACTTGTGGATCCATGGGGCTCAGCATGTCCTTCCCTCGAATGTAGGAAGTCTGCAACTGTGCGCCCAAGTTCGTCATCATTCTTTGGGTTGCTTAAAGTTGGCTTTGGACGTTGAGAATTTTCGCATCTCGTCGTGCCATGTATTCCTTGAAATCATTAGGAATTCCTCTCAGTTCGTAGTAAGATTCTTCAGGTATGGCAGATTCGTCGAACAAAAGCAGACTCGTCAGGGTCCTCTTGTTCACTCTGTCCCTGTGGTTGTGAGGGCGATGAAGCGATTGCCGGCTTCATGTACTTGACGAATGATCTGTAGGACTGCCCAAGCTCTCTCGAATAAGCCCCTCCTGCTTAGTTGAGTTCCTGTGACAACAGCCGCAAACTTGATCATCATATCAAGCCGGCGAGCAGTTATATATATTGCTTTAGTCCCGGATTCCGAGGTATTTCAGGACAATATACTCAGCGGACTTGAACGTGGTCGAGCACTCGAGCTAGGTATTCGACCCGCAAAGCATTCTTTAAGGTTCCCTTCCGCGATTTCCTTCAGGGCCAAGTTCAAACCGACGGTTCAATCTTTGACGCCCGCCGTGTGGTGATCGTGACGCATTTTCAGGCGGTTGGACGGTGCGTGTTTCTCCCCCCTCGCCCGGCTAACAAGACGAGGCCATCGCCGGGTGGAATGAAGAGTGTGGGAAGAAAGAATTATGTATTCGGTGTTCTGAGTATATAGTTGCCAGGAAGCTGCTTCGTGACTCAAGTGGCGAACGCGAAGAGAGGTAAAAGAGACGCCGCGAGATAGAGCCCCAAAGCGCTCGGCACTGGTTTGACTCGACTTTGTTCCAAGACTGCAAGATTCATCTGTCGTGCGTTTTCCCATCTCCGTCTCCGTCTATTCTTACCACCCGTCACCATCTAGTTGACTCTCCGTCTCTGGATTCCTAACTCTGCGGACTCTGGCTTTTTCGGCCTCATGGTCAAAGGAGGCGAGTGTGTGAAATCGGGGATCATCTCCATCGATAATGTAAATAAATTTCCTCGTCGAATTCTTGGAGATCTTTTGGACCTGCTCTTCATAGTGTAATAGGAGGTTGGCACCACTGTCGGCACGGTCGTCGTTGGGGTCAAGGTGGCCATCCTCATGTAGGGCGATCTTGAGCCGGCCAGTCCACAACCCGGTTTACCCTCTGGACGTAGGCAAGAAACTCCCGAAACGGCCTAGTCTTGGGATCGTCTGCCGCATTACCTCTGAGGGCACCCACGTGAACGATGGAGAAAAGGGGAGCCGTATGTGTCTGGTGATCCCGGCACACATGCGCTGGCTAGCTATCAATGAATTGGGGCATGTTAGATTTAGACCACTGCACCAAAAATGAGCGACGTGCCACTCTATAGTGATTGGTCATAAATCTATTATTTCAACAGGGCAGATCATCTGTGATCACCCAACAACTGGTTTATGCGCCCAATCCAAATGCAAAACCATCATTACCTTCGCCTTCCCAGCGGCCTTCTCTGTATTTGTTCTCAAGGTTGGTAGTTTGGGAGTGGCTATCCCCGTCCTCACGCCCGTCACCCTCGGCGTCATCTCCATCCTGCTGATGGAACTGAAATCCGCGGTGGTTACCCGAGATGACAGACCGTCTAGCTCCAACTTGTCATCGGCGGCCGCCCTCAGTCCTCGGCTTCCAGCTGGGCAAACTTGGAAAAAGTGCGCCCCAGACTTTTCTTCCTGGATCCTGCGCACCTCCTGATCTGCCGGCGCTACTAGCCCTGAAATATCAGCAACGACGCTGGGATGGGTGTAGCGGAGTTGGGCGTGTATCCCACGTCCGAGTGGGGTTGGTGAGTAAGGGCGAGCACCAGCAGGGAATGTGACTGGCAGGGTTCTGAACTTGTTGGTGAATCTGAACGGAGTTCTGAGGCAGTGATGCTGACGACAAGGATGATGGCCAAGTCCTCCAGCCTTCGGAAGGAATCCGGATGATGATCACTACCTCGGCATTATGGAGATGCTGAGAACAGTTGGCAGTGTCTATGAACTAGGTAGGGCGTAGGTATTGGTGGATACGTGCCGAGAATTGCTCTGCTGCTGTTGATCTCCGTCCGGATTAGAACTAACGCGTTGATTCCAATTCCGCCTCTACCGTCGACAGAGCAACGTACGGTTGCCTCTTCGATCTCCTCGAAACTGGTCCGCCAGCCAAGAAGACAACGTATCTTGTCATGGACACACGATTGTGGTTATTGCATAAGGATGCATCGGACGCAGCCATCAGTTTAGCTTTGGGTTGGTCTGCCACACCTCCCTCGTACAGAATAGGAGATGGTGCTCTCTGAAGCAGTCTCTCACACGAAATGAGCTCGGGAGAATATATATCTAGCGTCGACCTGTAGAACAGATAGAGGCATATCGGAGGATTGGGGGTAGATTACGCCGGTATGTTGTTATAAAGGCCAACTTCGAGGCCTCCAGGTTTGTGGCCGACATCAAATCTCTGGAAATCGATATAAACCTGTCCGATTTCACTACGTTGGAGCTCGATTGGGCGTGGGGACCTTTGAGGAGTGGCCTAGATAGGAGGTTTCGTTGATGCGCCCCAACATGAATCCTTCTCGGCGTGCTGTCTTCATAGGCATCCTAATGGTAGAATTCACTCTTTTTTGTCTATCCCAAATCTTGAGAGTCTAGTGTTGGTCTATATTGTGGTGGAAGACGAGGCCGCGGAATCGACTACTACCCACCCGGGGCTCAACTGTTGAATGAGGTGGTTCAGTAGTTTGGACTGAAGGCGGGTTGACGGTAGAACGGAACGATTCGGTGGTCTAAGATGGTCCTCCGGTGAGGGTTAAAGTTGGTTAAGAGCGGGCGGGCTGTTCTCCGGGCGATCAGCAGCAGAGCTGGAGGGTTTAGCAGTTGTAGAGCTGGGTTTGGGTTCCTGGCCAATGGGAGCTGAAGTCGCCCTCTCTGTGGTTGATCAACCGGCCGGGAGACTGCGATGCGTCCTCGATGTTTAGGAGGAACTGTGAGGGGTGGATAGTGAAGTCTGGTAGCTTGTCGATGGAATCCGAGTCTGGCCGGGCCAGTGCCCAACCAGAGGCATGGCTGTTTTCGATGAGGCACTTCGTTTGGTACTCGATATATACCTGATATGTATATGGAAATATAAGTAGCGTAGCCGGCCCGTCTAGTAACCTTCTCAGCCCGTACGAAAAGTCCCATACGTCGGCGGAAACGACCTGGCGGGCGTTGTCTCGACGTCAAACATTTCCCGCGCGATACTCAGCTGTTGGTTCAGCACGAAGCAGGGTCGTTCTTGAGCGTCCCATCGACGACACGCTTGAGTCCTTGGCAAATCTGTTGGTGAAGTACTGCTCCTTGGCGCCCACCCGCTACATCCTCGCCAGCGTAAGTGGCCGTACGGAAGTTGCTTTTCGTCGCCCACCATAATGCATGGCCGGCTCTGGCCACCCAAGACCAGCTTGGCATCGGCTGGGTATATAACAAGGCGCCTCGTCCAGTACTACCGTCTTCACCTGGCGCCTTTTTGAATTTACTATACGGCCTGTCGCAAGAAGTTTGTGGTGTCGTGGATACGACGTCTGCCGCATCGACGATGTCTGCAACCATGTCCTTGAGCTCGGTTCTCGAGGATGTTGCTTGCTCATCTTGGTAATGAAGCTCTTCCGGTGCTGCTGTCCTGTTTTTGGGGCCGGGATTGATAACGTTGGCTCATGAGATTTCGCCCCCAGCAAGCCGACGGATGTCCTACTCCAGGGGGCATCAGATGCGCGTCGGGCGAGACTCCGAAGCTTGCCTCTATCGTCCGTGGTGAGAGCGTTTTCCCGCTGATGTCGAACACCTTCAAAGACCACCCACACGTTGACGGCTTCACCAACCATCTACTCTGGTTGGCCGGGAACCATCAATCCTCGCTTAAAAAATGGGGTCAAGGGTCTCTGGATACGGGAGCAATATTTGGCGACAGTGGCACGCTTGTCGCTCAGTCACTACTCGCGCCGATGCCGCTGGCACATATCAAAAAGCAGTGTTATAGGCATCGAGTGCCTGGTGATGACCCGCAAGTTCGACAGGTGCGAGCACTAACTGGTTGGCAAACTGCAACCAAACGTGGAGGCACTCCCAGGCTTAAAGGTGGTCTCCGTCGCACAATTTTCGACTTGGTTATCTTGTATTCCGCTCGGATATGTCGCCCAAAAGTCAAAGTTCCTCGACTCATCCGCAAATCATGACAGCCAGCCCAGCCATCCTACACGGCAGGGAAAAAAGAAACCGAGGGCGCCGGTTCCTGTTTCGACCAGCAAATTCGCCACGAGGCCAGGCCTTTTCAAATGAAACCCCAGTTCCCAAACCGGGTATGATCTTTCGTATTTGGGTTTCACATATGATGTGAGGTAATGTCTGCTGTTCACAGATCAATGCCGAAACGTAGAAGCTGAGGAACTGCTTCCTTCTGGCCCACTCGGCAGCCGTCTGAACGTGTGGATGAATAGCCACCTGCATGCCTGCCAGTCGATGGACATCACCTTGGAAGCCCGTTCCTCTTGGAATCCAAGATCACCATACTGAATAATGGTCTCGAAACGCCGAGATCATACACTCATGGCAGACGCATTGGCACCGATTCCGAATAGAGAATCGGCCAAGACCGACGATACAAACAGGATCGAAATATCCTACTGATGAAGCGGTCGATTGTGGATCCCAATTTAAGACAAATAAAACACGACGAGACTCGGATCTTCGAGAACAAGAGTTCTCAGACGATGGAGGTGTTTGCGAGGCCGTTCGTAACTACGGAAATCTTGAGTTTGGAGGGATATGGCAGCTCTGGATGATCCATGGTATAGAAATATTCAAATAGCTCATCCATTCCCCCAACCCTTTATCAATAAACGCCAGTGTTTCCAAGCGTAAACCTCTTGCCTATTCTCTCCTGTGAGGAAGCCGGATGTCCATTGCTTACTGAGGCACTCCTCAGACGCGTCCTTAGCCCAAGAATCAATCATCCCGAGAATAAATTGGTGATTTTGTTGTTCAAAACAAGCCCACGGGTATCCCTCCGACTATCAGTCGAAGGTACGCCTCTGCCTCTGGCTTGGTGCAAAGGTCTGGGTCCATGATTATGTTCCGACCCTCCCATACTATGTTGGGAATGCCGGAAAAGACAAAGTTTGCCTTGGGGGTTTCATGGACAAGTGAGACGGATTGTCCATCTCCAGGGTTCTCTAACACAAGATGTAGAGCGTCCCTACATTTTGATGGTGCTTTTAACAAGGAGCGTGCCGTTTCTGAATGCCTTGATCTTAGTTCTAACTGACCTTGGCCAATTATGGCCAAGCTCACTTCTCCTGAAAAGGCCCCTTATGGTTAGCGGAGTCCGACCAGAGTCTGAAGAGAGCATAAACTTACGATCACGATCACTCCCACAAGCGTGAAGAGTTATCTGGAAGATTGTATCCCAAGGCGGCTTAATTTTCCTCTGAATGGGCAGCGCAAACCCAATGTCTGCCCCTGTCGGAGCCAGTTCCTCAACAGCTTTGCAAATCTCTCCCAAAAACTCTCATTCCGCACCACGGGGAGTAGTCCGGGGACATGCTCACTAAGGCGTCCGATTCCAGGGGATGTCGCGAAGACACCTCCTCAAGAAGGGCCAGTGTAGGTGTCGACCTTCTTCACAAGAATCCCGGTATTTCCCAGAAAGAGATGGTCCAAAGTCACCCCCGGCGTGCGGAAGACCACGCGACCTCTCACGGCAGTTCAGAATTCAGAAGCTTAAAGCCATCACGTCCTGCTTCCAGATCCTTTCTAGGGACACGCACCTATGACTTAAGATGAGTCGCCGTCCTTCTTAGTGGCATTCGATGAAAGCTCGAGACTCGAACCATGCCCTTTTCCTCCGCTATCGTCCATCGCATGGAATGTGAAGTACGAGGATAGGAATCGAGCTCGTGTGCAGGACCGTTGAATCAATTGCATATCCTCTCGGTGCGACCACGAACCGAACTAGTGTGAGGCTCCATCGAGGACGGGCACTCGTCTGCCATTGCCGACGGTTTGTCGATGGACCGAGAAGTCACTGGTTAAATGATGCAAAAACAAGCATATTAGAAGCTCTACCCTAGTCGGTAGGGACTCTTGAAAATCCTCGGTTTCTTTGCAGCTTCAAATCTTCATTGATGGTGGTGACGGGCGCCTGCTCTTGCGCAGTCCATTGAAAAGATGGCCTCATGGGCTACCCGTCCAGCTAGTAAGATGTCTCCGATGAACAGAGCGAGGTCGTTGGTGGCAGCGGCCTGACGGCGCCGGGAACCAGGTACGTAGCCGACGAGGACTTCCACATTGCCCTGCCATCGGCGTGAGAGGAGGCCAGTCCTGGCTCTTCATCGAACCAACGAACGCACAGTGAAGGTCTAGGTCCGTTCGAGTATGCCGCCAGGTTAATGTGCGGTGGGGCACATCAGTGCCTGGCTTCTGTGTAAACACTGGATCCGGAATTCGACCCTAGGCCCAGCCGTTTCCTCTGTGGTTGACAAATTGCAGAGATGTCTCCCCTGAGGGGCTCTCTAGACGGCAAGTCTTCGATCGTAATCGTACATGGAGGGACGACCGTCCCCGGGAACACTGTCGCTCCGTCCGACAATGTCAACGGGGTTTTCATCGTTCTTCTGCGTTGGATGAGACGAAAGGTTGGCCGAACGATCTTTCTTCTAAACTCCTCTGTGGAGGGTGGAGCGAGTCGACGTATGGCAGTCTTGAAGAGGCGCGGGTTAACGATCCGCAGCCGGATGTCGCCCCTAGACTCTTCGAACACCTGCTTGAGGGCTTCAAGCGTTAGTGTCAAGGAGCCCGGTTGCTGCTCCAATGTCTCCTTGGGCCACCACCCATGGTGACACGTCCGTCGAGTCGGTTAGTATCCTGTCCGGGGTCGTAGCGAGGGTCGTACAGGCCAGCGATTTCTCTGTCGAACGGGATTGCGACTTCGGAACCGAATCTACCCCACAGCAGGTGCGGTGGGTTGAGTAGGTGACGCGGCAATGGGCTCCCTGAGTTCTAGTAGATCGTCGGAGGAAGGCCGATGCCAATTTATGAGAATAGTGCTATCTCACGTCGGCGTAGTTCGTGGTGATGTGGTGCTGTGAAACCAAGAATGATCAAGAATCTCCTTGGCAGTCGGCCGCTGCTTCGCATCATAAACGAATATCTTAGACAGCAGGTCGTAGAGCAAGGCGGCCTCGTGCTCCGCGATCTTCGGCATCGCATCCAACATTGCGTCCGACTCGTCATCGAAGCCGTAGATATAGACATTATCCACTTTAACAGCCGTGGGCTTCCATATCATGTTCCCAAAACAAGGCGGGAACGGTTCGTTGTCTTCGCTTATGTAGAGCCGTTTCTGACATCCAGGCACGCCTGTGTTGACGACATTGCCCTCTGGCTGATCGTCCCATATCTTGTAGACGAGATCCCTCAAGGACCGCTTCTCATCCAATTTCGCGACATGCCTTCCCTTTCTTGGGTTCTTCGTCGGATATCCAAAGTCGTCCCAGAGGGTATCTCCCCACTCAGCGGGCCTATCTCCTAGGGTTTGCTCGACAATCCTCACCAACTCGACCGGGCAATCGACTTCGAAGGCGGAAAATGGGCTAAGACCACCTCGGAGCCGGAATAGAAAGCACCCCAGAGCCCAGACATCGCTAGCGGGACTGGGCGGCAAGCCGACAGCAACTTCGGGGGCAAGAAACTCGGCAGGTGTGCCCAGCATCTTTTTGGGAGGAGAGGAAATTGGAAAAGACTGGTCAAAGTCAACGAGTATTGTGTTACTGCTGATAAAGTTGAAGTCCAGGGAGAGAAAGTCAAGTGCTTTGACGAGATATCGAGGTGCCTCCGGACCGGTCGGTTCACCGGACTCCAGTTCAAGCTGTTGAGTTACCGGCGGTCCAAAGAGACGGTAAACTCCGGCTTCGTTAAGGTGGTCGAAACCCTGTAGGGTGAATAGAATATTCCCGGTGGTGACATCTAAGATAAGTTAGCGAGTAAACATTAAGAATGGTTCAAGTTTTGCCTTAGGGGGGTCCGGAGCATACCTCCGTGGCAAATACCCTGCGCGTGGAGATCGGCAAGGGCTTTTGCAGCTTGATATCCAACCTTTCGAGCGAGCCACGGTTTTAGCCTACATGAAAAGAGGGTCGACAACTCCGAAGCAGATGGGCCAAAAACGGGCAAAACTAGACACAGATGGCGACCATTTGGGCCCTCGAAAGTAAACCGCCCAAGTTCGGACATGAACGTTGCGGGTCCTCGGGCACGGTTTGAGACGGCAACCTGGCTGCTTAGAACACGAAGAGACTTGTCGCTAATCGATGAAGAATGCTTTGCAGCAACAAACTTCAAAGCCACCCACTTCCTGTCACACTCGTCTCGTGCTAGCCAGACGGTCGAAAAGCCGCCGGCACCGAGCTTGTGCACGATCCTGTAGCGACCGCCATAGTAAGTGTCGCCGAGATGAACGGGATGGAAGCCCCCTGGGTGGTAATGTTCGGGATCTTCCGCCTCGAAATTGGGGTAAAGGAAGCGGAGAGAGTGGTAGGATTCATTATCGCTATCTTGATCGACGGGGTGTAGCGACATTTTGGTTGCGCAGATGAGTGTCACACTTTGAGTTCTAAATGAAAGAGAAAGACGTCAAAAACGAGGTGTGAAGCATCGCAGGGACTGCGAGAGAAAAGATGTTGGAGTCGGCATTTTATGCGTTCATTGATCGATGATACACTAGGCAACTCTGATGGCTCGATGAATGAAGTATAGTAGATGCCTAGAACAAACCGCAGGTCCTGTCGAGTCTTGCCCTGATTGGGCGCCTTGTCCGGTACGACTGTTGGGAATGCGACAAGGCTGCAGGTTTGAGGTTTTCATTCGTCGAACGCGTGGTTGGGCAACAAGGGAGGAGCCGCAATCCGGCCGCGCTCCCGGCTCGAGGCCACGCCCGCGGTGTGAAGAGATCACTCACCGAAAGGCCAGGTTAGTGGCCCATTGCTTTCCAGGTCGGTCGATGCAGCGGAGTTCTCCTTTGCTGAAAATGAAGGCAAATCAAGATATCTCTTTGGCTCCACGACCATCTGGGCGAGAATCATCTCGTGGCCACGTCGATGGTACAATTTCCCAGGACGATTATACACCAGTCAGGCCTCCAGCCAGCCCACCGGTAAAAAAAAAAAAAAAAAAAAAAAAAAAAAAAAAATATCGCCCTTCCGGCCAGCCTCGCTCTCTGCCATCTCGCAATTTCGGTCCCCATCCCCGCGGGATATGTGAAGTTAATGCATGTAATGGTTGTGACGACTGTGTTGATACCCTCTGTCTAGAATTCCACAGTTCGATGGCCTCCTTACTTGTCAGCCATAACTCTGCCATTTCCAGACGGTACTGAACTCTCCCCAATCAACACCAACGAGAGGTGGGTTCGAGAATGGCTCGCTCGGTTTGGTTCACCTTAGATATGGTAGCATCTTCCTCGTCCCATTGTAAGTTGATACATTGGACAAGGTTGCTTGTATATCGTCTTCTTCGCGCCGCCTTGTGTTGTTGGCACTCGGAAGGCTAAGTTCATCGAGATCTCAGCAAACAACTTTATGATCGACAATGAGCCTTCGGATCCGAGTTGACCCGTTACTCGATTTCCACGGAGCCCGGGGAGGTTGTGACATCTATGATATCTCTGGAGAACCGGGACAATCGAAACAAGTGCGGGGAGTTCTTGAGAGTGACACGCAAGCCGGACTGCCGGACCCTTTCCTCAGATCCCAGGTCTCCTTGACCCGATGAGCCCTAGAGTCTTGCCGATTTTGCAGTGCTTTGAACCTTCTGTAGGACAGGGCGAGGATTAGGTCCGTTGCTTTGATGTTCTCGAATGGCCGTATTCATTTCACAGGTCATCATGTCGTCCAAGCAGCCATCGGACCTCGTGTCCGATGTGATCATGTACTCTGCTTTGTCCGCATCCAGGAGGGTCTGGGAGACACCACATGCCGTGGTAAAAGAGTAGAACCGCCAAGTTCTGGCCCAATGCTTGCCCTCAGGGGCCGGAGTGCTCGCCAAGAAGCGGGTGTTTGCCATGGCGGATCCACTCCGGGGTCGTGTCAGAAGTCGCCGCATTGTCAACTTCTTCGAGGAGAACTCGTTTCCGCGGCTTTGATTGTTTGGGGAAGTCGCGGTATTGTGGTTGTCGGGAGCGAGATGGGTTGTGCCTTCGCTGACGGCGGCATCGACGAGTGTCAACGAAGCTAGTCTCTTCGTCAACGCCGATAAGATTGTGACGAAATAATGGTTGGAAAACGGAAATCTTGTGTAATCTTGTGCTTGAGAGCGTATATCCGTACCGTCCGAGAGCGACAGAATCGCACTACTCGCGCATCTAGTCTCGAGAGTGCATCGCCTTCCCGGAAATGCTGGCTATCGCCGACTACACGGGAGCCACGTAAGAGTGGCGTCTCAAACTGTGTGATGGTAAAATACCAGAGCGGAGTGCTCTAGGCTTTTGACATCGAAGCAGACGATATGCCCTCCCACAGTTGGTCCAGTCGGAAAACATGAAATAAGGCGGTTACCAACTGTCGGATGGGGAAATGCCCAATCTTGGAAGCCACTGATGAATACACGGCTTTATATACCAGAAAGGAGAAGCCAAAGCCGCAATAGTTGGAGACTTTAGGGATACTGAACGTATCGATCACTGGCGAGATAAACCCTCGACTCGCGCCTTAGAATCAGATTCAGAATTAGATGCTGGAGTCGGTGGTCTTGTTTGGATCGCCCAGACGAAAAAGAGGTACCATCTAGCCCTATCCCGAGAAGCTTGACTTGTGGTACTCACTAGAGAGCCTCCTTTCGTCACAGCTTCTGGGAGGCATACTTTATAGGCATGTGGCGGTAAGATATATAACTGCTTCGTTGGGAGCTTTGTGCTCAGTAGAAATTCCAACGCCCATGCTTCATATATCGAAGGGACGCCACCCGAATACGATCCCTATAGGACGTAAACGAATACCCAAAGGGCGATATCGTCCCGGTTGACCATCCGGAACCAAGTTGACCGAGCTTTGACCTTCTTCGCATCTTCCTTGAGCTTTCGTAAGATCAGTTCGGTCGCATCAAAGGGCTCTTGTCACAGGAATTGGCACTTCTCCGCAACGTCCTTCAAGAGTTTGTTGGGGAGCCCTTTTGCTCAATGTATATATACGGTCTAGTTGGACTCCGGAGCAGGCCCGAGTGATTGGAGAATTAGCATCTCCATCGAGGTCGAGGTCGAGGCGTCCCGGTGCAAAAAATATTGACCAACCCCCATCAGAGTTATCGGGGGAGAAATACCATCCTTCGCCGGCAAATAGGGCGCAGGGGGGTACGGACGTTCCAGGGAAGACGGTAGTACCGTCGGGTAGGACAAGTGGCGTCTTCATAGTCCTTCGTCTTTGTATAAGACGTAGGATGGCCTGACGACCTTGTGACTGAACTCCTCAGTCGATGATGGTGCTAGTCCTGATAGCGGCCTTGAACAGCTTGGTATTTAAAATCCAGAGCCGGAGCCCGGTTGCTGCTCTAGCGTTGGTTTGGGCCAAAGACCCATCGTTACTCGACCGTCTATATCGAGACATTGCTTCCGAATCGGCCCCACAAAAGATGCAAGTGGTTTAGTAGATCGTTCAGGTCATTCGACATCGGTGTCGCTGATACCATGTGGACTGCCGCAAACGACTCTCTCCGTAGGTAGCTGACAACGGTGCCCTCTCTTTTTTTTGCCAAATGTACTTCGTCTAGTACGACGCGGGCGAAAGAGCTTCGTATCGTTCCATGTTCAACCAGACGGTGTCGTGTTAATACTATCCGCCGTCGCCGTTTGATCTGGCCCCTGAGCTTCTGATTCTGCTACATGAAACCGTCAGCCGCCGTCCCCGTGCATTGAGAAGCTCACCATCTATGACCACTTCGTTGCCTATTCTTACTTACTGTCTGTAACCTCTCCGCCAGGATTTCAAGCACTTTCAGTTTGTCCTCGTTCTCTGCAACGTCACTGATCATCGAAGGCTTCTGTTTGAATGTATTTTCTCTGTTCTCACTGCTCGCAATGGAGCCGGGTTCGACCTGTAGTAGTGGCTGATGGATTCAGGGCGACCATTGGGGAGGGGCGGAGGCAGTTCCAACTGACCTACTAGACTCGAGCCCTCCAACTTGGCAGTCCCTGATGTTCGGCACCAGAGTGAGTCGGCTGTTGAGAAACACTGCCCCAACGGAGAGGCAACGGACATGGCAGGGGCCAGTGACGGGGACTTAGGGGGAGACAGGCAGCCCGGCGCCGACCATGAGGTCAATGTCATCCGTTATCGAGACGCCTGGAGAGAGTCGAAGAGGTGATCCTGGGGTGAGGGGCAGGAGCGGGAGTGTCAAGAAAAGGGGGAGGGGACATCTCCGCATCGGAACACGGTCCATGAACGTCCACTCTGCTGAAGGGGGTGGGGCGGGAGACTGATATAGGCGTCTTGGGAGTCAGGGGATTGGTAACCTTACTGCACCTTTCGATGAACTCCTTTGAATGTGAGAAAATCGTCGGGGAATCGTTTGAATACGTGGGCCAGTGGAGCTCTGAGCCTTTGAACGACCACCACGACCGCCCGAATGTGCCTGTTGTCCTAAGGCCACTACTATACATACGAATGTGACTTAAGTTGAGGCAGGTCAGTCTATCTTGATATATATCAATGATCCTGGCTTGGAAATAACGCAAGATCTGGTATGGCAAGAGGAGAGACATCGCCTCCCAATCAGGGCCGGGTCTAAAAACGTCCCAAATATATACCATTGATCGACGTCCCTTCTGCAAGCCCAGGGACCAATTCTTCCAGTATATGCATCGCATCGATTGTAAGAATACCGTCGCGAAGTGAAAAAGAACACACCACGCACGCACCGGTCTGAGACCGGCAAAAGCGGTTCCGGCAATTCGGTGCCATTGCCTGTACCGGCTCCGGGCTTCGGGGCAAATTGAGGGCCGAGCTTGTCGGCGGGCATGGGCTTCTGTAAGCTTCATGACTGATTCTTCGATTATATTCCCAGTGTTGGGCAACTGGATTTTAAATGTGATGTTGACCCCGTTCTCGAGCCTCATTAGAAACAGTCTCCACGATGTAGAAGGCAGAACCATTCGTGGAGAAGAAGAGGAGGAGTTCATACTTCATTCTCCCCTTTCACAGCCTCGGATACACTTGGGGTAAACCGCTACAATGTCTAGGCGCTTGGCACGGACAACGCCCCCAGCCTTCGCCGCAGTCTCAACGATTATGTTACTACCCTCCGCTAGGAGACGTATCATCCGTGGGAATAGATAGCAGCTCATTACGCAGCGAAACCTCGTTTGACGCCAAACCGGATTGGCCACTCATCGTCGGAGTCACAGGGAACAGGAGAGCCATCCTTTGCTGAGGCGCCGGCTTGCAATGCCAATCGCGACAGGCATTCCAATTGGTACCCTTGTTTCGGCTGTTAGTGAAGTCTGCGGCTCTGACGATTTGACACGAGCCATGGCTGCCGCTACTCGGTCGTCGCCGTCTGTGAAGCCAAGCTTAGACAACCAGACGAGATCG